TCAGCATTATAGCGAAAATCTTTCATGCAAAAAATCTAATCCGATAACAGAAATTAGTTTTTAAAAAAATCAAAATACAAACTATCACCCACGTGAGAAATACCAAGTGCCAACAAACAAAGCATGATCAAGAATAAAAATCATAAATCATGGTTTCAAGATATGATTCCACTGTAGTGCATGATTTTCGAAAAAGATTGTTTTCTTTTCCAAAAAATACTCGCTCGTGGAAGTGTCTTTGATGCAATGATCTACCAAAATATTAAGAAATTTAGAATGTAACTAAAGTTTGAACTTTAGAACGTCTATTCGATAATTAGTAAAACTTTTGTGTGTGTTTAGATTGAGTTTTCTATTGTGATATTACATGTTAACTAATTCAAAATACCATCATATCTCCTTTCGCTAAATATATATATTTTAATCCTTTACAACTTAATTTATAACACTTAATACAAATTACAAAGCACTCACCAACCAAATATTCCAATTAATATTTTGATTTTATTTTTTGCTGTTTTTTTTCCTTCAAAAGTATGTTCAATAGTAGAATCATTATTTGGGAAAGGCGTATCCACCACCAGATACGTGTATTGCAAATGACGTGCAACTTTTTTTTGACCCACTAGTAAAAGTTACATGACTATACAATCTTGAATTCGACTATATATATATATATTCTCCTCTACAATATTATGCTTTTATCATGCACTTTTTGTTGGGGGTTTCAAATGGTCCCTTGGTCCATTGAAGAACCAATTTTAAATCCATCCCAGTTCCCATCATCTCAACTTTTGTTTTGTGCACTATTCATATCAATATTTTAATTTTGTGGCTAGTATCAAAAGTTCGCAACAAATAAAAAGTAGTCAATATATCATCGTAATTTGGTTCCATATATGCAATTAATTTGTAGTTTCACGAACATACCAAATGTTGATGATAGGAAGAACATGCTTCACCATTTCATCTTCAGAAGCCCGAGAGAGAGACTCTGGTTCAATACGGTTTACAAGTTTGGTTACGTATCGGTATGGACGATTTTAACACAGAAGAAGCCAATTTAGAACATTGACCAAAAAATATAGAACAATGACACACAAACAGAACCACATACAAAACGAATCAAGCAACATTTGATTTTGAAGAACAGCTCAAGTCTCCTCAAGGGATTCACTGCTCCATTATCTTCACCGCCAAGCTTCAGTACGCTCTACCCTAGATCCTACACGGCTCAAGTTGGTCAATTCCTTTGTTCTGCCCACAGGCCACTGAGCTGGAGGAGCCAGAGTCAGCAACTGTAGACCTGAGTCGCTCAATCCCCTGGTCCTGCATTTTCCAGAGTCTGATTCTCTCTGTTCACATGCATTGTTCTCTAGGGTTAATTCGTCTGATATCTCACTGCTTGAACTCTGATTTTCAGCATTTTCGATGTTGTCTGATTGCGTCTCTTCACTCTGTTCAATGGTGTTAAAAGCCAAAGACTGTGAAGGGCTTTGGTGACCGCTCTCATCAGAAGGTTGTAAAGGGCATACATGAGCTTGCTCAACCACCAAGTCTTGCCTCTCCCGTAGTGTTTTTTCGATCAGTGTCTTGAGAAAATTCATGACTTGAACCGCATACATCAGTGCTGTCAATGGATCATCCATCTACAATAAGAGTATTTCTCAATCTGTTTAATCTGGTCCAACATGGGTAAAACATTGATAAGAAACCTTGTTGTGGCAGACTCACCTGAGTCATATTCGGTGCGAAAACCATAGCGATGTTGCGTGAATTCATCTTGTTAAGGTGTTCATACTGAACAACATCTGCCATTAGATTGATGGCCCAATCAAGCAGAGCAGCTTCTGTAGGTGGAAGAAGCCTAACGAGCTCGACATTTTCCTCTTCTGTTTGGCACTGCATCACCTGTTCAGGCGACAACGAATCAAGAACGCTTGTAGGCAGTTCTCTAAACCATGCCTGAAACCGAAAATCAGAAGGAAAAAAAAAACAAGATTAATATATAAATTTTGCGAAATAAAACGGACTTTTGCATACATCAAATACCTTGATAAGCCCTGCCAAACAGTGAACATCGATTCGCTCAGGTATAAATCCTCGGTTTAGTTGTTCCCTAACCGCCTCTTCCTCACTATTCTCAGCAGTGAGTCTAAAAATGCCCTCTGCCTAAAAAAAGAATTGAAGAAGTGATTACATGGAAAGCTTATAATATATTCACTTTGGAGGAAACTCGAGGAAAGCAATGTACCTGCAAGCCTCCTTGACTGTATAAACAGTTTTGCATCAACAAGAGTATCGTTGGTACACAATTGCCTCTTGAATCATATGATAATTGCATTGATTCGGTTGATACCCCAAAGACTGTTGCACTAAAGTGATGAGATAGCAAGAGATGTAAGAGATGAGATAGCACGCGAGAGACAACTATATTAAAAAACAATTTCTTAGAAGAGCAAAGTTACAATTGCATAGGGGGCAGTTTTACCCTTTTTTAACATTGATCGTATCGATAGAGCTGTGAATAGTTGGATGAACAATGCAACCTTCACATAATATAATCTAACTTCAAGTAAAAGATAGTATCTAAGACATCAAATATTGATGTTTGAAGACAAGTAACTAACGTCTAAATCAAGAACAAAGACACTGATAAAGGAATCAAATCGAATAAGTTCTTCTCGTTTTGGTTTCACTGATTCCACATAAACCTTAATCTGTATACAGACAAACATTAGAGGTTCTACAATTAGAAGTTAAAGAAACAAAGATTCGATATCCATCTACAACCGCTGCTCACCCGAAAATGCAAGACAAGATTCGATTCTTGACATAAACATGATCATAGTTATAAGATAGATCAAAGCAGCTTTTAAAAACAATTCAATAATCAGTTTCCTTAATCACCATTTCTTCAGCAATGAAGATCAAATCAACGAACCTAACCGTCAAGTTCTCGAAATGCTGTATCTTCTACCACAATACGGAAACCTATGAATCTCTAGAAGAGAGCTAAGAACCGCTCAAATTCTTCAAAATCCCTAATTGCAGGAAACAAAAAAGGAGGATCTTTGGACAATGTACCTGGCGCTTGGAGCTCTTCTTGGAACTTCAGGCTCGAATTCAACAGGCAAACCCAAGAAGCCATTGAAACGATCGAAGGTAACGTGCGCCACGTGTCGGACATTGGTAGGCCATCCAATCTCCATGCTACAGAGCTCTCTCCGATTACTCTTGCAAGAAATCAAAGATCTCCTGAAAATGGCGACAAGAAGAGCCAACAACGAAATATGATCTTCCCCACCATCGTCGTCTTCTCCGACATTACCGCTCCGTCTTCTTCTCAAATCTTGTTCTTCGATTGAGCCATGAAAGTCAACATCTTGATCGAATCCAGGAACTGGGTTTCTCCGGTTATGGTCAGAGCTAATCAAGAGAGACGCATTGGAGCGAGAGGCGTAAGATAAAGAAGAAGGTGAAGGAGCCGAAGAAGAAGATGAAGGAGAAGCGCTTGGAGATGAAGGAAAGTGAAGGACTTCAGTCATGGCGCACTTCAGATTTCACAAAGGAAACAACTTTTTAGGTTCAAATCATTGCAAAGGAAAGAGAAGAGTTTACTTTACTCCGATCTTTTGTGGGTTGAAGACGAAAGCCACAGAGCTCAAGATCGAGGATTAGAGAGTTAATTAAAACCCTAATTAAATGGGTTAACTTTTACTATTAGATAAAATCTGTTGTCAATTTGCCATTATTGGGAATAACAGAGGAATTGCATATAATGAACCAAAAAAAAAAAAATTGCAAAATGATGCAATTTCATTTGATATTAGTCATGTTTTTGTTTTTTTGGTAGGTGTCAAACTATTAATCATTGGTGTTATTGGTAGAATTAAATGAATAAACTTCAGCAAGAAAAACATAGTAAGCCTAAGCCATATCAAAATAGTTCAATAAGTTAAGTTTTAGTAGTGCAAAAGAAAAATGAGAATACTACTAATTAATTATTAAAACGGTATATACAATGGATCCAAGTGAAACTAAATTTTCGGTTTTAACTAAGACAACAATAATTTTTGCCCATCTTATCCAAACTAACGCTACGTACATGATGTCTTGTTTTCGTTTTAATTCTGATTTTTGGGTGTCTATTTTTTTTCTTATGTTCATCTCTCTCTCTCTTTTTCTCTCAACTCTGATCTAATTCATTCAAACCGAACATGAAAAAAAACGTCGTGGTTACTATTCACACTGCCGTATCAGAGAATTAGATAGTGAATTTATTCGTCGGAAGAGACAACTTTCACGTTACACAAAAAGATCTACAACAATGTTTGGATCTCCATGTATAGATCTACAAAGCATAGCAACATCCCCCTGGAGATGGACGACACAAGCCTCATGTGTTCCTTCATGTCAATTAATAGTTATCTATAAATTTAGCTGCATGTCCATACACTTTCATAGAGTTATAACTCTAACTATTTCGTGCTAAATTTATTAATAGATATATACGCAACTAAGTTAGTGGTTTAAAATGTTTAATTTCCGCCCAAACGTTTTTGTTATATATCCAAATTAAAGTCGGTCGCATTTAATAACCGTCACTTCGTCCGAGCAATTACCGAGTAAAAGTCAATTCAACTATTAAACATTTACTAAATGTCAGAATTTTTTTATCATCTCCCACGCGCAATAACAAAACGTGCATAGGTTTTTTTTGTAATAACTCACAAAGCCAAACCTTTTTTTAACTTTGTTTTGGACGTTGTCGGGGACAAACATCCCTAATACCTATTTCCTAATTTCCCTTCCCATTTTTAATTCTGAGCAAATTCACTCTAGTTTTTATCTTGTCAATCTCATTATCCACTATTATCGTTAAAGTATATAAAACTTTTTTTTTAATGATAAAAAGTTATTAATTTAGTTTACATTAAGTATTAATATAGATATAAATAATAAACATCAATTATCAAAAAAATAATAATAAACATTGATCATATATTAATGTTTTAAAGTCCTTATCATCTTATAAATGTGGATTTCGTTTGGGGCAAATCAGTATAGTTTACGATATTTGCACGTTTTCTAAAATGTGAGACCATGTTATGTGAGTAGATTAGTAGTATCCACGTCTACACAAAATATACCAACCAAATGCTTATTTACTTAAACAAAGATCAAGGATTTTATTGTGTTTTAAAGATAAACTCGTGTTATGCATACTTGTGCTTTATTTTGTTTAAAAATTAAATATGTGATATATGCATGTAAAAATAGAAGTTTCTAAAGATGTCAAAAAACAAAGGAACTTTCTAAATTGCAAGCTTACAACAAGAAAAAAAAAAAACTTTCTAATTGCAAGAACAATTTGGTAATAACCTTTAGACAAAAAGTAAAGCTGCATGGGTATGGGTTATGGGCATACCAAAGTAAATGGATGCTGTAACATAGAATGTCAAGATACATTACACATATGGTCAAGATATTGTTATTCCAACTACCACTTGAGGAACAAAAAATAAAAAGAGTGTGCTCTTGGGAAAAGAAAAATGAACAAAACAAAACAAATACATTTTATCAAAAGAAAAGAAAAAAAAAAACATATCTTGGTGTTGCCAATCGAAGTACCAATTTTATTATAAAGCCAGCCCGACATTATGAAATCATATTATGATCGCATGAGTGAACTAGAATCAAATATTATATCCTTGAAACGCACGTTAGGTATCGTGCTTGCCACACATTTTGTAACAAACTTGAACACTACAAAAGTTGTAACATTTTTCTACAGTTCCCCATATATATACTAGGAATTCATATAGATATTTCAACCAAAAATGGCCGTGAAGATCTCAACCATATCAGTATTGATCCTTTCCCTTGCTCTACTTAGCTTCGGCCATTGTTGTTATGGCCAGCTTCGAATCGGATTCTACAGTACAAAGTGCCCAAATGTCGAAAACATTGTATCTAAAGTTGTTGGAGAGGCATTCATCAAGGGTTCGTCCATTGCACCCGCAATGATCCGCCTTTATTTTCACGATTGTTTTAGCAACGTAAGTTGGTTAATACTTTTTTTTTTTTTGGTTAATACTTATTATACTTAAAATTTGCTAGAATGTTTTAATGGGTCTTAAAAGAAATAGGTATTGATCTTTGATGTATTGAAAATGTATGTAGGGATGTGATGCATCGCTTCTTCTAGACGGTGCGAGCAGTGAGAAAAAGGCGTCGCCAAATCTAAGTGTACGAGGATACGAATTGATAGATGACATTAAATCTGCGGTCGAGCAAGAATGCGATAGGGTCGTTTCTTGTGCTGATATCATAGCTCTCGCGACTAGAGATCTTGTTACTCTTGTAAACACATCTCTTATAACTACAACTTCTATTTTATATGTTTCCTACCTAATCGACTGCAAAAAGATAACTTAAATTTTTATTTGAAGGCAAGCGGAGGGAAAACACGATATGAGATACCAACAGGACGATTAGACGGCAAAGTCTCTTTGGCTTTGCTCGTGGATTTACCGTCTCCTCGGATGACCGTCTCGCAAACTGCTGCGAAATTTGCTGACAGGAAACTAAGCCTTACCGATATGGTTCTACTTCTTGGTATGGAAAGTAAACATATTAAATTCAAATAATATATTTTTGTTGTATATAATGTTATAACACTAGTGAGAATCATTAGACTAAATGTTTCGGTTTTAAATAATAAAAAATTTCATGACATTTTTTTGGGTTTAATTTATAAATTTATAGGTGGACATACGATCGGAGTTGCACATTGTTCGTTCGTTATGGACCGGCTATATAATTTCCAAAATACGCAACAACCTGATCCATCCATGGATCCTAAATTGGTCCAAGAACTAAGACTCAAATGCCCTAAGGATTCGTCAATTGATGGCATCATTAATCTGGATCAAAATTTTACGAGTTCGAATACTATGGATGTATCTTTCTATAAACAGATAAATTTTCACCGCGGAATCCTTCATATCGATCAACAACTTGCCATCGATGGGATGACGAGTAAGATGGTGACGGATATAGCCAATGGTAACGACTTCTTGGCTAGGTTTGGTCAGGCAATGGTGAATTTGGGATCGGTGAGACTTATTAGTAAGGCCAAAGACGGGGAGATAAGAAAATCATGTCGTTCTTGCAACAATCCATCATGCGTATAAACAGTTGAATAAAATTACGCGCTGTTTTTTTTGTTTACTATTATTTTATTTAACATTTTTTGTTGTTCATCTATCCTTTTTATTTTTAATTTGGGCTGTTATTTATTTTCTATTGTATGGCATCTAAGTTTTTTTTGTTTATTGTTATTATGTTATCATTTTTTCATCTGCCCGTGTTATTTTTAATTTGAGTTGTGAATTAGTTTCTATTGTTATGGCATTTCAGTTGTTCTCAATAGTTAATTAAAAGGAATAACAATGAAAATAAATGAAGAAATTGCGGAAACTAGGACCATGTATATTTTCCTCACATGTGAAGTGCTTACTTATATTGATCGTTCAGTTTTCAACTCCATCTCTTTGGTCTTCTCATCTACTATTTTGAACTTACCTCTATTTGTAGATTATTATTATTTTTTATTTTATTTTAATCCAACAACTGTTTTACAAGGTTGAAAGATCAACGTGTATGACATCTCTAATACAACTTAGGACACTACTATACAAACCCATTGCGCTCTTAGCTGATCTGCTACTCGGTAAGAAGCCCGGTAGTTGAATTGTATATCCAAAATCGAACTCTTGTTTAAGCACCTCAATATTTTGAACCAGGCTTATCACTGAGGCCCACGATTCTGGTGCTTAACCGGGTAAAATGACCTCTTTCCATCAATCTCTATTTATAGATTCACACGAGGATACAATTCAATGGTTAGATGACTTAGATCGACTAGAGCAAAGAATATTAATTTATTAGTGATCAATTTTTTTTATACGATTTGTAATCAAATCTCTTCCTGATTAATAGTTAAATCCCCACATGATTTTTTTTTTATTTTTTTGGGGGGCCAAAATCCCAACATCATCATCAATTACATCAACTCTGTTACTTGTGATACAATATTATCATAAACGTAATTATTTTCTTCTTTTCTTTTTTTTTTCATGATAAAACAAGATTTTTTTAGAGAGGGGATATTTTTGGGCAAGCCAACAAGTTACAATCTTTAAACTCTTGGCTCTTGCCTTTATTAATAGGACAATATTTTGGTAGGATTAGAGTAATAATTGCCGTTATGTTGTGTTCTCGAGTTTTAAGGATAAGACGGTTTAGTGTCCGCTCACACATGTAAGATTCGTCAGTAAAAGATCTAAATACTGCAAATTGTGGAATTTTTTGTGGAGTCGTTCATGTTTTGCATATAGGTAGATTAGATAAATTGATAAGCATTTGTAATAGGGTTAGATCACCATAACTAAGGTGGTGTTATTGGTTAATGGATTTTAATAGAGTCTAACTCTAACCCAAATCTAATGTTATTGGTTAGTGGATCTTAACTTCTTTATTCAAATCAAGTGTTATTGGTTCTTATATTTATAATATCTTCATTAAAAGAGTTTAAAATCAAGTGTTATTGGTTCTCATATTTCTAATGTCTATATTAAAAGAGTTTAAAATCTAATGTTATTGGTTCTCATATTTACAATGATTAATTAAAGTTTTGTGTTATTCATGTTTAATAGATTTTCACAAATGATTTGATTTGAAAAGATTTGAATGAATCTGAAACTGATTTCATGTGTAAATTATAGCAATCAAAATCTTACCTTCTACCATGAGATTTTCACAATCATATGAGAATAACCAAAACCCCATTTTTTTCTCTTTTCACGTCTACTTATAAGAATTTACATACGGTGATAAATCTCTCTTCATCATTTTTTTTTAAATTTCTTTACTAAAGACATTATACTCATAGCTAGTAACAAGATTTTGTAAAAACTTCAAAACAGTAGAAAAACATGAAATAAGAAGAAGAAAAAAGATGGACAAAAGTTTGGCCAGATTTCGATTAGATTATAACAATCATTTGTTATAGAATTCAGTTCTGTTACAGAAAACCAAATGAAATCATGTATCATTGATAATACACTTCCACGTATTTGATAAAATGAATAATGATTCATTTTCAATGAGCCCAGATGTTTTAAAATCTGATAAACTCTAATTCTAATGGAATTGACTTCAACTTATACGACCAATAACACCCCCTAAAATGGTAATGTAGGAATGACAAAAAAAGGATTAATAAATAAATCCCCCACAAAAGTGTGTTACTTGTGAGACAATATTATAATGAACATAATTCTTTTCTTTTTTGTCATAATTAAGAAAGGTGACATTTTTGGACAAGCCAGCAAGTCTCTTGTCTTTTTTTTTTTTTTTTTTTTTGGCATCTGTGATTAAAATAGTACTCAAAAGAGCCATTCTTGTGGAATGTTGTTTACATAAGTCTCTTGTCTTTATTAATAAGACAATATTAGTTGGAGTATTTGCTAGGACCGTATGGTAGGTTGTTGATAATAAAGTTATTGTCCATGAGAAACATGAGCAATAGTCCTTGATTAATTCAGAACCAGATCTGAAGATAGAAATTATTTCGAATCACTATTGATGTAGCAGATATAGAGGCCAGCTTATTTCGAATGGCATACAGATTTCTTAACAAATAGCTTTAGCAGGTCTCGAGGTTATTAAATGAAATCGAGTATATCGAGAAAAAGTTTGTTATCGATTTCTTTTTGTTTAGTCAGAAACTTCGACGTGGAAGGATATCTTACATTGATCTCGCCGGCAGCCATCTAGAGGTTTAGAAACTGACAAGATTTCAGGCCCAATTTACAAATTCTGGAGAAAGATTGCATGTGTTAAATATGCTGATTACATCATTGATTGGTTCTACAATAACATGCATGTTGATAAATGATCACAACATGGATTGGTTCTCCTGCAATGTGCATATGTTTGATGTATACCAATTATAGAAACCATTTTGTACCACTTGGTTTGAATGGTTGTGATTACATGGAAAAAACAAATGTTAGCGGTAACAGATCATGGCTATATGATTTTATCTTGAGCGTTTGCGGGGTGCGGTCACAGATGATAGCTATGAATTTATCTTAAATATTGAGAACAAATTACGAGGAAAATTAAAGTTTTTTTTTAAAATTAATTATTTATGAAATTATTTTTAACGATATCAAAGTCTTATATGGTTGATACATTAATCAATTAAACTAAAGAATGTTTGTAATCATAAAAAGATAAATCAAACACAAGCAAATGTTTCAATTCTATTTATCAAGTATTTTTTAATTAGTTATACTATTATATTTATATATAGTTTTGTTAATTATATAATATTGTATCTATTTTTACAATTGTATTTTTAAGGAAAAAAGATATTCACCTTCACGAAGTATAACTGAATACATGACTACACATGTCAAGTTTAGAAATGTACAACCAACTACACAAACTAGATGTATTGTATGCCCTCATATACCAACTATATGACGACATATAGTCAACATCACGAACATCTTATTTCGGTATACCAATCGTCGAAATCCGGCGTTGACCATCGCTGACCGGCATTGACCAACAAAAATATTCAAAAAAAATTATTTTAATTATTTTAATATTAAAAATAATTATTTTATTGAATCTTTTATGGTATTGTATAATTAAAAAAAGAAAACGCATTCTATATTCAAGGTAAAGATATTTTGTATATATATCTAATACATTGATTATTATAATTAGTTAGTTTTATCAATTTCAAAACTAAAATAAAAGTGAAATAAAAATAATTAAGCGAATTAATTATTTTTACTTTGTCAATAAAAAACATCTCTATACTATTAAAAGAGAAGTACAAATGAAAATGGGTCGGGTTAAAATCAGAAAATTGACCCGAAATTCTGAAATCGGATCTTTAAATTTTTTTTGGAATATAAATTCGAATTAATAATGAAAAATCGAAATAAAATCAAATATTTATGGAAATCAAATAAAATCTGATTGTACTTATGGTAAATTGGTAACTAATAATAAAAACATATTCCGAATAATATTATACATTAATTACGTATAATAAATTTGTTCATATATTTTTGGGACTAATTCCATAACAATCAACGTTTTTGTCATTAATTTCACTCATTTTAGTCAATTATCATTAATTGAAAGATATTTTATTTGCTTCTAAAGATTTCTAGAATATTTATCACAAATAACCCATCTGTTTTATAAATTAAATTGATATTTTTATTTTGGTCGTGTAAATTAAATATATATTTTTATTTTGGTCGTGTAAATTAAATAGATATGAAATACATGTAACTAATTTTAATTTAATTAGATTAAATCGAAATTATGATATTTTCATACCTATAGCTTACCAAAGAAGTTTAATTTTCAATTTATAAAGATTTATTGAATATGATTTTAGAATTATTCAACAAGATGATAAGTATTTATTAAATTTTGTGAATCATGAAAAATAATAATTAATGTTTAATCATTATACTTCATCTTTCAATCTCTCATCTAACAAATAAGATACATATTCTATTATTACTATGTCCAAACTTCATTTTGTTGTATGACTAAATAATATTCCCATTAGAACTGTCAAAGCGAGTTGATTCGTCCCGTTAAGTCCGTTTTGCGATAGACAAAAAATATTTTGACTTGTAGTTAGTCGGTCCGCACGACCCGCGGGTAGCATATATGAAATACAAACCCGTCCCACGAATGTATTCGGATTTGCGGGATTGTCCATGAATTTTGTTTAAATAATTTTAAAGTAACCAAAATTTAAAATACTACTAAAATAAATAAATAAATAAAAATACTATTAAAAGTTTGTTTAAATTACCACATGTTGAATAAATTATAATTTTATCAATAAATACTAATATGCGGGCTGATCCGCCAACCCGCGGATGAAAACCGATTAAACCTATGACCCACTGCGAATTAATCCATGTGGCCCGCTTATTTGCGGGTTTAATATATTTTCCCAAATCTGCCCCATAGTGAGATGATGTGGGCTCGACCCGCGGTTTTTGACCTATTTTGACTGCTTAATTCCCATGAATCGTCTAATTTTAGAATTTTAAAACACAAAATTCTATTTTGTAAATCATAATTAATACGATGGGTATATTTATAAATAATTTTACATTTTCTCTACAATTCGTTATTATGAATATTTATAAGTATACCACACGATTCGTTCTACTAAAAAACACACACAATATTAAACGCAACGTATGTAAACCAATATTCTCCCGCGGTGGACCGTGGGTCCGATCCTAGTTAACTTCTTATTTTACAAATGTTTTTGCTAAAATCAATATCGTTAGATTTTCTATTTTTTATATATTAAAAGAAACATTGCGAATTTTTATGTTGTTTACGCGTTATTACAAGAATTTTGTTTAATAATTTTATTTACAAAAATTAACAATATATTAAATTTAGACTAAAGAGTATGTAAAATTTTCTATATATTTTTAACTATGTATTATGATTTTGATTTTAGTAAAAACCTTTATATTTTTTTACCATGGAAACTTTTAGACTAAAGAGTCATATACTCAAATATTTTTCTAATAAAATTAATAAAATTTATTTCATTTCAATTTTAATTTAGTTTTGAAATTGAAAAAATTAACTAATTATTAGAATCATACAAATTTTTCTTGTTAAATATAGAATGTGTTTTTTATTATACAACACCATAAACGATTTAATAGATTAATTCTTCTAAAAAATATCTAAAATAAATAAAACAAAGAAGTCTGCGGAACAATGGTTACACAGTGAGGTATATCTATATACATATGTATGTATGGCCAAATTTTTTGTTAGAGTATTCATCTTCATAACAGGTTTTCGAAAAAGAATTGTTTCGGGTGCTAAGAAAGAATGTTGGTGATGAAAATCTAAACGCTTTAATCTCGGAAAAAGTTGTTCCTGTTCCGGGCGACATATCACTGACTCATATTGGAGTGCATGACTCTAATCTCTTACAAGATAATAAGATATCGACATTATTATAAATTCTGCTGCCACCACAAGATTTGATGAGAGGTAGTACTATTGAACATCCGTTTATTTTATAGAAAAATTAATGTTATTCGGGACCATATTAACTAGCTTTTGGTTTGCTTGTCTGTGTAAAAGGTACGATGTTTCACTTGGGATCAACACATTTGGAGCAATCAATGTGCTTAACTTTGCTAAGAAGTGTGTGAAAACAGAATTGCTTCTGCATGTGTCAACTGGTGAACCATTTTAACTTTATAACAAAATTGATCGATATTCATATATTTATCTACATTCGTTATATATTTTTTTTTGTTTATAAATATATTTGTTTTCTTTTCTAGCTTATGTTTGTGGGGAAAGATCGGAACACATAGTAGAGAACCTTTTGCTATGGGAGAAGCCCTTAACGGTAAAAACAAAGTGGACATCAATACCGAAATGCGACTGGCAGAGCAGAAATCGAAACAACTCATAGAACAAGGTTGTTCTGCGGAAGAAACTGAACAAGCCATGGAAGATTTCGGATCAAAAAGGTTTTTTTTTTTTCCATACAGTTTCAAAATGCTGAAATTATAAAATAGATACTATGAAATAACTTGAGGCACATGCATTTTTCATATATATAGAGATATGTTAATTAGGGCACGGCTTTATGGATGGCCAAATACATATGTCTTCACCAAAGCAATGGGGGAAATGCTTATTGGACACTATAGAGAAAGTATGCCTCTTGTAATCATACGTCCCACAATAATCACAAGCACTTTCTCGGACCCATTTCCTGGTTGGATTGAAGGTTTAAAGTAAGCTATCACCAAATTTCCATTCGACCTATATCATTTAATTTGCTGCTCCCTCCGTTTTACAAAAAGTGTTGGTTTAAGATTTTAATCTTGTTTCATAAAAAGTGGCGTTTTGTGTTTTCAATGCAGTTTTTAAAACCAATTTTTTTTTTTATCTTTAGTATTTCAGTTTATTAATTAGAAAGAGGATATTATCTAGTGTATTAATAAGGGTAAAAATGAAATTTGTTTATCTTTCTTAGTTTGTGTGAAATATGTTAAAATGACACTTTTTGTGAAACAGAAACAGTAGTTATTTTGTTTTGTGAAACAGAAAGAGTAGTTATTTTGTGTTGATTATTCAAGTACTTGATTTGTTTCTAACTCAACTTCTTTTGTGGTTCTCGTATATATGAAGAACCATAGACAGTGTGATTATATTCTATGGAAAGGGAATGCTTAAATGTTTTCTCGTCGATCAAAAGACAGTATGTGATATTGTAAGTTTTCACTAGCACATTACCAATTTTAATTTGAAACATGTAAATTAAAATTCTATTTTTACTAGCTTGACGCTTACACATGTGTCTCTGTAACAAGATACCGGTCGATATGGTGGTAAACGCAATGATCGCAACCGCAGCTGAACATTTCCATGATTCAGGAAGTCATACCGTTTACCATGTCGGCTCATCTAACCAAAATCCGGTGATGTATAAACAAATTTACAAGATTATTATTCGTTATTTCATGGAAAGCCCCCTGGTCGATCGGACGCAATGGTATGCTTATAGTTCCAAACGTTACAACAATATCCACAATGGCTAGGTTCCGTGTCTACACGAACCTTTGCTATAAATTACCTATACAGGTACGAACTTGAATAAACGAACACAACTGTTGGAGTGTTATTCTTATATGAATCGAAGGGCTATAGTTTTAATTGCATGCATCCTCTCATATTGGCTCTCTGTTCTTTTTTTTTAAAGATATTGGGATTACTTAGTATAATTTTTCCATCGCAAAGAGATCAATATGCACTTCACAACCGTAAACTCAAGATGGCCATGAGATTGGTGAAACTTTACAAGCCTTATGTACTCTTCAAGGGCATGTATGTCTAACTCTCACATTCCTCCAACCATTTTTTTTTTCGCATGCCTTAGTTCGCATTTTAACTAAATTCCGAAATTTTAATGCAGATTTGATGATAAAAACCTGGAAACGTTACGAATCAAGAATGAAGCCAAAGAGATGGAGAAATTGTTTGGCACCAACTCCAAATGCATTGATTGGGAAGACTATTTTATGAATACACATATCCCTGGCCTCATGACACACGTATTCAAGAAATAAACTTCAAATACAAATATTAATATACGAAGTCAAGTCAAAAGATATTGTATTGCATTTCCATGGGATGAAGCCTACTATATATAATTATTAATTATATAAATAAAGTCTATGGAAATTCGACGAGTAATATGTTGTCTTTGTTTACTCTGGTATCTTGTATTTGATAATACCATATTTGGAATTTGTCTATCTAAAATCCTTCGGCTTGACTTTGGTTTATTTTTAATTTAATTTCTTGATATATTTTGTCTCAAAAATGGAATGCACAAAAGCCACATTTTCTCACAAATGCCTTTAGCCTTTCTAGATCGCGACACGCATTATTGGTTTTTTTTTTTTTTTTTTTTCATCAACTCATTATTGGTTTAGAAAATGGATATAAATATGTGTAACAAGAACTATAAAAGCCAACAAAACAAACAAACGTATACAGAAATAACAAAAGAAACATTAAACACTACAGTATATATATAAACAAAAAAAATACATGTGAACTGCGTTTGTAGTCACCTAGTTCAGATAAAAGTAAAAAAAAAAAATTGACACAATGTAATGGACAAGTACTGAAAGATATTTTATTTGGATATAAATGATGCAACCACTGACACTGTTTAGTTACTGTTGAGCAAACCTTCACAGCTCATTAAAAGTTTAGACTAAAGGACAGTCGGAAAAAAAATGTTTGCCCACTAGGCTTTCTATTCTTAGTATCATTTTAAACTCTAGCGAGTGAAGATTGTTAAAGTATCGTTAATGCTTAATACCGCATATAAATATAGATGGTATGATTAATACTAGTATAAGTCTGTTTTTTAAGTAATGCAGTTTTAAATGGTTCACTGATGAATGAAGAATGTTGCGAAGGGACTTTACTATATACTCCCTCCGTTTTCGAATAGTTGTCGTTTTAGAGAAATTTTTTTGTTTTTAATTAGTTATCGTTTTCAGTTTTCGATGCAAAATTTATTACTTTTTTATTTTTTCTATTTATTTTTATTATGCAACTTGATTTACTATTAGTTAAATTATGTTTAGGTAGATAATTAATGATATTTTTATATTGAAAAACTAACAACATTAATAGTTTCTTAATTTGTGTGCATATAGTTAAAACGACAACTATTCGAAAACGGAGGGAGTATAAATGAAGAAATAAATGTGTTTTCTTAAAATGGTGATTTATGTAATACTTACTATATAGTTTACTAGGATCTCTCCCGGATATTTGGTGTTAGTATATACTCCCTCTGTTTCACAAAGAGTGTCATTTTAGAGTTTTGCACACAGATTAAGAAAACAATAAATTTTTTGTTTTTTCTAAACAAAAACATCATTAACTATATACCTAAACATAATCTGCCCAATAGTAAAACAATCTGCAGAATACTAATGGTCATAAAACATAAAAAATCATTAAATTTTGCATTGAAAACCTAAAACGACACTCTTTGTGAAACAAAAATAAAACCTTAAAACGACACTCTTTATGAAACGGAGGGAGTAAATTTTTTGAATCCAACAAATTGTTAGGTTGCATAAAAGTTTGCAGCAAATATGAAGGTGGATGAATTTAAGAGCCGTTAATATAGAAGCAATACAAAAGTACGTTATCTATTTGTGTAAACCCAACCACCAAAAATCAACGCATTTTGGTTCCTTTAATAATCATTTCTTTTATATAAACCTACGTACGTTCCCCATATTTTCACTCAGACAAGAATATACATCTAAAGCGATCAAATCCATAAAAGCTTCATCGAAATGGCGAATCAAGCAGCTGTTGCAGCATTCTTCCTTTTCGCTTTAGCCGTCTTCTCCAACTTCGAGCTCTCGGCTTCTTCACTTGTCAGCGGCAAGATCTCTTGCCTTGACTGCCACCGCGATTTCGACTTCTCAGGTCTACTCTTTTAACTAGTTAATACACTTGAATCTTAGTGTATGTCATAAAAGTTTCTAACTTATGATTTCATATTGCAAATCTATTACACCACTGGTCACATTTTTAGTTAAATTGATATCTACACTAGTTTCTTGATATCTCGACCATTTTTATTGTATATGATTTATTTTTCAGGCATTAAGGTCCTCCTTAAATGCGACGGAGAGAAGAAACAGATAACCGCGATGGCAGCTTCAGACGGATCTTTCCGCTCAGTGCTTCCAACGGCTGACAAAAAAGGCTCCGAAAATTGTCTTGCAAAGCTCTTGGGAGGTCCTGAGCAACTCTATGCTCACAAACACAACTTGGTTTCTGAATTGGTCAACTCTAAACACGATTCCAAAGTTTTAACTATCTCAAACCCACTTGCCTTCTCTCTCTCCTGTCCCAAACCAACCCAAGATGATGTCGGAAGTATGATCGGAGATTCCAAGACTATTAATTTTCCGGGGGCAGGAGGTTTTGGATTCCCACCTGCCAGCTTCTTTCCCTTCTTACCAATCATTGGTATCCCATGATTTCATAAATAAGTGTTACTTTTAAGTACTTAAAAGACATATTTATACATATGTTTTGTTGTTTACGTGAATGAAGCCAGCCAAGACAAAATATTAGCAAATTACATCATTTTGTTTAGTGAGATATAAGGTTATGTTGATGTGCTAAGAAAATGTTCTTTATTGGCTTTATGTAGTTTTAATCAGTTGCTTTTGTATCAAGTTTGTAATAAGACGGTTGGGTTAATCCAACAACATACGTTTTATTGTGAAATTTCATGCTTATATGATTATATAATTGTGCAACTAAAACTAGAGAAGAAAAATAACCTAAACATTAGTTTGAACTGAGAAAAATCTAAATAGCAAGATAAATTGAATTAAATTTTGTTGCACCCTAGTCAATGGAGTCGATGGATTTAATATAGTCGTAATTGGTTTGATTTGAGAAACATTAGGACAACTGGACAAGAGTCAAAAAGACAAACTTAAACGATATTGATGAGATAACAAAGGTTGCAAAACTTGAGTGCTTAAATGGAGAAAGAATCCACTAATAATGATAATAATAGCAACAAAAGAAACAAAATTGTCTTTAAACAAAATCTCGATCCTACAAAAGTCAGGATACTGGAATTTCAAGTTTAACCCATGAAGAAGAAGAAGGCTCTCAAAGTGTGATGATACCTTAGAGAAACTTTGTAATAAAAACCTTAGAAAACTCGGTTCGGTGGACCCATTGTGCTCTTCAAGTACAAGCACCTCACCTGCAGGTAAAGGAACAAGTCTGGTTTAGATACCGATAATGTATCGAGAAAGATCGAGAAGATATTTAGTTCAAGAGGGAGAGTTACTAACATTTTGCCAGTTTTTCTTCAGAAGTGAAACAAGGAAGTTAACACTCATCTGAACATTCTGAAAGATCTGCTTCTCTTCCATGGAAAGATTCCCGACAGCGACTCCCATACAAAGAACCTTCTTGAGCTGGAACTTCACTGTTGCCTTTGTCTCATTCACTTTGGATTCCAAAGACTCTTGGTGGCTGACAAGAGTTGGGAACTTTCCTGTCATTGTTCAAAAGAGTCGAGATTTAATGGGAAAATCACGATTTGGGATCAACAAGAACAAATGAAAAAGATTAGGTAGGTTAGAGACATGCCTGCCTTGTTGAGACCGGGACCAAGAAGACGAGGAATCTGCTTAATGACAGATTCCGAAGCAAGGAAAGCATGGAATTTCTTAGCAAGCTTCTTAACAAGTTTCTTGTTCTTGTTCAACTTCTTAAGAGCTTCAACATCCATAGATTCCAATCCAATCTTCTCAGCCTAAGTAAACAAACCCCAAGTTATACTAACATATACTACTAACCATAACGTTTTCATTAAAAAAGGCGAAAAAAAAGTAAACCTCTTCGACGTGTTGGGCATCTCCAAGCATGCAAATCTTCATCTTTGGCCTAGGAACGTGAGGCAATTTAACAGAACCGCTAAATCTCTTGTCCTTTTGAGGGTCATAGTTCTTAAGACCAATCTGGAGTTCAATAGTCTCAGTGAAGTTGCGTGGCTTAGTCTCCTTGCAGTGAGTGATAATGGAGGATATTGCCTCTCTTACGGCTTCACTCTGAAGCTTACTACACCATTCAATAAACCCAAAATGAAAAGATCATAACTTTGAAATCAACAACTCTTAACAATTTTGTTTCCTCATGAAATCAATCAATGACTGAATAGACAAAGAATCAGTTTTTTTTTCACATCTAAGCCTATCTACGATTATACCAAATCAACCACTTAATCAAAATCACTGGCAGAAGAAAAATAAAGTCGATTTTGAGTAGACAAACCTCATTTTGGCACTTGCTCAGACAAATTTGCTTCCTGAAAACGGAAATTCATAAAAAATGAGATTTTTTTACAGTGTTGTCGAGAAACGTATAGAGCATTCTCAGATCATAAACATAAAAAGAATTGAAGAAGACGAAGATTGATTTACCTGTTGGAAGGTCGGAAACAGAGAAAGAACGGCGAGTGTTGCAATCGTCTGTAACTTATACGAACCAGAAGAGACTAAACTTCTAGCCCTAGTTATTTCTCGTCGTTAAAGCCCAATTTCTGCTAATCAAAGCCCAGTATTTAGGCCCACAGAGATTACTGCTTTCCCAAAGCCTATTTTGACCACTAACCAAAATTAAACAATTTTTAATTGATACATAAATAAAAGAAAATTGTACTAGACCACACAACTTATTGTTTCAAAACTATAATTAGAATTCACAAGTCACATAAAATGACAAATTAGGTCAGTTTTTTCAGTGAAATTTTGTTATTCAAGGTATGTATAAAATAAGATACTTTGAAGATGAAAATGCATATATTATATATTTTAAATCATAGGTCAGTCAAACAATACTCGGCCTAAAACGCAGACAATCGCTATTGACTACAAATATATACACAACCAAAATCATAAGAATACTTGTGGATGTGGGTATGCGTCAGACCAATTTCTCTCCTGTCAAATGTGGTTTGTTTTCTCCTTATCCAAACATAAATGAGAGATCATCCATAGGAACCTCATCAAGCCCTGCTGTATCAATATCTTGAAGACCTTCGAACCAGTCTCCAATATCTGCCTGTTCATCTATTTCCTCTAGATCACGGAACGCTAATTTCGAGAAATCTATGGGAGCTTCCTCGTCAACTGCACCATCTCCAGAGGTACCTCCTCGGTTCGAGGCGCCTCTGCTTGCTGGTCCTGTTGGGTGAGTTGACGTTGTTGTTGATCTTGATTGGTTTTCGTTATTGTTGTTGTTGTTCTTTTCTTTTGGTTTCGGTTTGTTCTTGTTCCTGAAACCATCTTCTCTCTCGCTTCTCTTACCTTGAGCTCCTCCTCCACTAAGAACCGCACTGTCTATGCTCGTTGTGACTTTGGATGAAGCGCATCCAATAACATCATCTATCAATGCTTCTCTCCTCTTTGTACTAGACACTGCACCTACAAAACCCAAATAGCTCATCAGATTTTCCGACAAAAAGGTTTAAAGTGTAACCACTGTCTAACTATTTTATCAAGACCTTTAGTATCTAATTATTACATTTGAATGTGCTTCGCATTAATCTACAATAGTCTTATCCATGTTGTCTTACATGCCATAGCAGAAGTAACTATTGAAAAATCAATTTACAGAATCAACATCTAAAGTTCAGATTTTGCGTACCTGAACCCTTGGCCTCAGCCTGATGATTAGAAGGTTCATTGAGCGTGTTACTGGCTGTTCCAGAGCCGCCATTTTCTGATGATTTTGCATCGTTGCTGGGAGAACTAAACAAGATATCCTGAAGTGCGGGATCAGCAAAACAGCTAAACCCAGTTTCTTCGAACTTACGACACCTAGCAACTGTCCGCCTGATAAACGCCAGCGCCACTTGTCTAGTGACCTTGTTGACTTTGGCTGCTTTACTTCCGCAGCATGCCTGTTTTTAGAGTAAAATCAATAATTAATTAACAACCCGATTTATATATCTCATCCCACAATCACTCATCCAAATTAAACTTGGTTTATTACCATTCTTTTCTTGTGCGCTGTTTCCACAAGCTGGTCCATAGCAAGATGCTCAATTTTCCTGCATGTAAACCTCAAATCTTAGCAAAAATAACGGTGTAACTTGAAAGATAATGAATCTGAAAAAGCCAAAGCAAACCTTTTCTCAATGTCTTTCCCCTTTTGGATGGTAAGATTAAGCTTCTCCAGCTTTTTCTTCTTGTTTAGGATCTAGTAGAGGTCAAAAATGGAATATGAGAAAGGTTACTACGAGTCAAAGAAGAAATTTTAATGACGATCTGATAAGTAAAGCATGAAATATTTGTTTTGCGTTTACCTGCTGATAAATGCCTTCCTTCAACTCCATAACATCAGTGCTCATAGTTTCTTCAGCCAGATCAGGCTGTGATAAAAAAAAAAATTGGAAATTAGAGAACAAGCTAGAGTAACATGTTTTTTTCTTTAGCTCAAGTTATTGACAGATTAAATGACTTGAGACAAAACTTACCATTGCCTCAGGAAACACACCAATGCTCTGCAGTTCCAGAAGAAGTCGCTCATCCAAAGACATAAGCTGATACTGGGTGTCAGATACTGGGAAGTTGGGAATGTTCACTTCCCTAGCTTGCAATTCACCCAGACTATTTAAATATGTCTCATTGCCGAGTGCAGCTTCCGAATGTGAAAGATCATCATCCCCAATCCACTGTTCATTGCTATGGAAAGATATAGACATGCCACCATTTCTGAATGGGTTAGACACAACACTCCTCTCACTGGAAAATCTGTCAAGCAAACAACTCTTAGGGGTCTGAAAATCCCCACTTGACTCTACTTCAAATTCCATTCTGTCTCTCTCTCTGAACTCGGTGTCAATATAGGTACATGACCCACAGTGAGAATCGTCACTGGCGTAATGAAGAGACAGATTCTTCCCTCCATTGAATTGTACAACTTCTCCATCATCTTCCTCAATTAAAGCAGAAAGTACCCTCTTATACAACGGAGTACTCTCATTCAATTTTCTCATGTCCAATCTCTCAAATGAAATACCAGATACACATGATGAGGTTGGACCTGAATAGTCAACAATTCCCTCACCAGGGCGATGTAGTGCTTTGGGCAATTTAACACCCTGAAAAAAGGACTCTCTTTCATTCATGCTACATTCAGATTATATAAGAGACTATAAAACTAGACATTGCTGCAGAGGTTTGCAACTTACCAAGATGTTATAACCATCTAAGATTGCCTCTGACAGAGATTCATTGAGTTCTTCAGCAAAATTCAGCTGTTTTCGGATAATTAAAAGTTAACAAGAGTTGGCATCCTAGAGAGAAGTCATATATGATATACTAAATAGTATCAAGTATCGACTATTACCTGATCTTTCATGCTTTGCATGTCGTCGGCATTGACGGCAGCAAAGAAGTGGTCCATCTTCTTCCAAAACTTACCAGAACAAGCAAGATCTACAAAAAGATATTTCTAGTTAGAAGGAATAATTTTGCGGCAATAAAACTAGAAAGACATGACATATGGAAGGATGAATACCTGCTGCCTTCCGTGCCGAATTTGCTGCTGCAAAAATATCTTCACGATCATCATCGGATTCACCTGAAAAGCCAAAAATCCACTTGAATTTATGCTTAGGAACTGACACCATCAGAAGCACGAGGTGCTCTTTAGGGAATCATACAGCTGACATGCAGAGATTACATCCAACTGGCAACTACCACCACTATCCTCTTAGAAATTAAATACATCCCTTTGTACAATGAAAACTAATAATTACCAAACCTCAAATATTCAGGGTAAGTCACGTTCAGGATAGAAATAGAAGTTCCCCAAAAATTAGTTTGGTAATACTATCTGATAACCGTGAATATGTTAAAATATTGGAACTCGAAATGCAAAAAGAAAATAACTACCTGTAATATCTGAAGGAGTATTTGCATTTGAGGCAAGCCGGGTAGCAGGTTTACGATCTTTAACCTTTTTCGCAGGTGGACGCCCATATTTGCTGTCCACACAGAGAGAGAAGGAAGAACAATTGGTCCGTCTATTTAAAATTTATATACAATATAACATTTTAAAAGTAGAAGGGGTAAGAAAAAGAACTGAATTAGGTATAAATCACCTTCTATTCTTATCTGAAGCAATCTTGACGTTGTGAAGAGGCTTCTCTACTGGTAAATTCTCCGGCTTAACCAATATAGGATGAAAGCCAGGAGTTGTCAACGACGAGACACTTTCGCTCTTTCCTTGCTTCCATGCACCACATCCTTTATGACTGGTTTGAATCTTATTCTTTCTTATCGGAAGTAATAACGACCCTGATTTAGGAGTTGGGAACAAGTCACCACTCGCAAAAGCTCTCTCTCTTGTTTTGTTGTCTCCAGCTCCTGAGTCCTCACTTTCAGATAACCCATATGGCGATGAAGCATTCCTCAACTCCCTTTTCATTTTCAAAGGGCTACTATCAACAGCTGAGAGTGACGCGGTAGTTCCAGGGGATGCTCTAGGACTAAAATCAGATGTTGTAAAGCCTTGAGCTGAGATCTTGCTTTCAGCATGCTTTATTAAAGGCGAAACTACATTTGTTCTCCTTGTTCGAGAATTCTTATGCGGTCTCTGGCCAACCCATTGTGCCATTGCATGTGCAGATGAACCTGCTGGATATGGTAGCGTTAGCTCATTCCCATAAACATTACAGATAGCGTATTTAGACCACACTTAGATTTCCCCTAACCTTGTAATACACCGGATGGGGAATCAACTTTGGATGAAGAATCAACACCCATTATGGCTGCTGTTCTTGGAGCCCTAGAGACCTTTCCTTTCAATATTGTAGTAGAGTTGTTTGTGGGGCTATCATCCAGTAAGTTTCTCCTGGATATGCACAATTATGCATTTATCAGTCACATAAACAATTTGCTATTAAATTGAAGCAAAATCTATAACAAAAAGCTTGAGGTATCTGCTCACTTATTATTTCCCTTGGCTAGCCTCTGCTCAGCAAGCACTGCACGATCCCTTGCAATGGAAACAGTCTCCAACTCATTCCTGGATAATGCACCCATACCCGGACTGTCTGGCTCAAACGAAGCATCAAGTCTGTTAATCCCGTTCACCCCGGGTGAGGATTTTGACCTGCAACAAATGTGGCACATTATGCTTTCTTCGAGAAGGAAAATTATGCAAGAGGGATCAATCTGGAAAACTATATAAATACAAATGCATGTTGCAAGAATATCATCATGCTAAAGTAAGATCTACCGAAACAAATTCAAGAGGAAATCATGGAATCCAGTTTAAATGAGAAACTTGACAATCCCTGGCAATAACTTAAATAGCTCATGGAAAATAGAAACTTGTAGAATATCATAGCTCAATTAGAAAGCAGAGTAGGATCCCCACTAGAATATCATGAATCCTGTGACAACAACCAGTAAACAAACGCAACATTCCTCTCTTTTAGGTCCACTTACGACCCTTGGACTAGAAAATAGGTTATAACATCCTCAAATGGTGTTCAGTGTTATATGTCAAGATTCCTTTAAGTTGTACTGTAGCTAAACATCAAGGATAACTACCAGGCTAACTAATCTTATATCCTTAATGCACACCTGAAATTTTGGGTGTCACAAGAACGCAACTTAGAGTCAGCTGTTGGCTTTGGCTGCATCACACGTTGATCAGGATTCATAATTCTGTTGCCTAGGGTAGCAACAGACCGTCTCCTTTTCATTCTTGTCTCCCATACTTCACTACCAACAGGTAATCTGCGTATCTTCTCTTCTATTCGCATTGGTTCTCCAGAAACACTTGGAGGTGAATCAGAGCCCTTTTCAGTAACCTGCTGCCTTGCAAGAGCCGAAATTCTAGCATCCCCCTAAAAGCAATAACAGGCAGGAACCATTAAACAACAGTGACGTGGGAGAAATGCTTTCGGAACACAATAATTGAAAAATCGAGTAAAATCTTCAAATCTCATGTCTTCTATAAAGATGTTAAAACTTACTAAACATGAAGTGGCGGATGAACAGAAAGGAAAAATGCCAGGGAAAATAAACAATCAATTATAGAGTAATAAGCACACTATAGATCTAAAGTGAGGTTTAGATACAAACCCGCACATCTGCGACGGTTGTACGAGCACGCTTGTTTAATCCAAGCATCTTTTTCCTTTCCTCGGATCTTTGAGCCATACTGTCTTGTGCTCTTGGAACCTGGTTTCTGACCTTATCAAAGTTTGCTGCGTCCATTCTCTCACCAGGTGGTATATCATTTCGCCTTCGTTTCTTTGAACTTATTGTCTCCGCATATTTGTCCAACTTGGATATGTTTTCACTTAGTTTCTTTGCTAGATCCCTACAAGAAACCCAAGGTTTTAGTAAAGCTAAATAACGAGAAAGAAATTAAGCAATAAGTCCTCGTTCTAGTAGATATTGTAATATGCTGTGAAAAATTTAAACTCTTAAGCCAAATTCTATGCACCTATGATTAGTCAATGGTCACAACAAACAAATGTTTACAAGGCATAATCACAAGTTATGAAAGAAAGCAAGAAGATCCATACCCAGCTTCTCTGGAAGTATCTAACACACTTTCTTTAAAATGCTTGAGCTCCTCAGTTGCTACAGGAGGAGAAGGTCTGGGATGAGACATCCCAAAAGAATTCTCTTCCGATGAAGCCCTACTAGGAACACCGAGAACCCTTCTAAGCTCTCCTGAACGAGTATAGTTCTGATTCCCTAATCTAATCGGTTCCAATGCTAAAACTTGAGACAAATTAGGGGTATCAGATGACAATCCTATAGTACCCCTGCTCACACTGTTACCAGAACCTAGCATTATGCCTTTGATCTACTTGCTTCACACCAAAAGCCACTCAAACCTGCAATCAAAAAACGAGATTTTCGTAAATCATGGAATACAGAAACATAATCACTCTTACGCACACCACACACGACTATCGTAATGATTAAAGAACCCAATTTTGAATCAAAGATAAACACGAGCAGTCTAAAGGTGTTAACTTTGAAACTAGTAAAAATTTGCAATTCTCAAAAATTGATGAACAATTTCGAAAAATTCTCACCTTTGCATCTAAGCCCAAGCCATGAATCAGAGACAAACAACACGAAAACCCAAAAATTCCTCAACGCCGGTGATAAATTGAAAAAAAACCCTAGAATCACGGAGAAGAACCCAAAAAAAAAAACGAACTTTAGCTATCAAGCTCAGAGAATCCAAAAGCGTAATTGGGAGAAAGACCAAAGCTTTGAAAAATATCTCACCCGGAGAAATTCAACGAGGTCAAGCTTTGTTCTTGTTGTAGATCAGACGGCAAAAAAAAAATTCCCTTTTAGTCGGATATTTTTTTTTGGTTTGGGCGAATTTTGCTACGTCCAATAACATTTATGTACACAGACTGATGACGTCATCGCTCTCTCTTTCTCTCGTCTCTCAATTTACACACGGCTTTGACAAATGTGACATTAAGGTTCCGACTGGTAACACGTGTTATTAAGGTTGAATTGCAGTCGATCGATGTTATAATCTGATGTAATGTGCAGTAAAAATTATGTGGTATAAACTGTAGATTGATGTAGTTTTTTGCTGTAAAAATATGAGTTATCAGTCTGATCAATACAAGTGACTGGTAACTTTTGTGTTTTAAAAGTTGCAGTATATGTTATTAAAACTAATTAATTAAATATCAATAATAATAATAATAATATTTTTTACAAATTAAATAATAAAATAAAATAATACTAAAAACATAGTTAATTTGAAATATTTTTTTTACATAATAGTTATAAAACTAATAACTTACATTTTCCTAGCATATTTAAAATTTTATCTGTATTAAATCTAGTCCTATAAATAGTTTTTGATAATTAAATGAAAATAAAAAACAAATTAAAAAATTTAAGGTTTAAAGATGTTAAGAAAATTAAGAATTTAAATACCTATTTTTTTATGAAATGTTATTGAATTAAATTAAGATAAAAATAAAAACAATTATCATTATTAAAATTAATTTAAGATATTTTTCTTCTAATTTAAAACTAATTTTCGTTTTTTTTTTAAATGCAAAAATTATAACTCAACTTACCACATCCTAACTCATAGGAATTTCCATGTTTTTGAGTTAAGTTTTGATTTAGCAATTTTACAAAGGAGATAACTCAAAAAAGTAAGTCATTCATAACTCAACAAACTTCAACCACTAATGCAAATTTTTAAAAACAAATCATGATTGGTAACATTTTTGAATTATCTTCCTAGTTCAATGATACCACATAGTAACTCATGTCACCAATCACACCCTTAGGTTCGATTTAATTCTTCTTTTTGGTGGCAGAAGTTAAGAATTTGCCTCTAAACTAATAATGACTTTCAAGAGGTTATTCTTTTTTTTTTTTTTTTTTTTGGGCAAACCAACTTTCATTATAAAGAAGTGTCGTTACATAGCAGGAGAGTTCAAAGCAGATAAAGCAGATAAAGAGGACTTGGCCAGCGCGTCAGCTAACAAGTTAGCTTCGCGAGGAACAAAGGAGAACTTAATGGATAAAAAAGAACAGCGAAGCAAGGTAATATCGTGAAGAATTCCTTGCAGCTCGTTCGAAGTGGTCTCTGTATTGAGCAGAGATATAAGGACTTGAGAGTCCGAAAAAACGATGATGGAGGTGAGTTCCATTCTAGACGCTGCGGTCAGCGCTGATTTCAGAGCTAAAGCTTCGGAAGCTAAAGCGGAGGGAGTATGGAGGCGAGTAGCCGAGCCCTGATGGATAACCCGGTGGTCCCGAGTCTTAAGAATCCATCCCATACCACAGGAGCCAGAGGAAGCGTTCCAAGCCGCATCCGTGAAGCAAAAGACGACCTCAGAACGAGGGACCAATTGCGAAGAAACCTCAGTAAGAGGGACCAGAGAAGAAGAAACCTCAATAAGAGGTAATGTTGTGGAAACAGCCTCAATAAGAGGTAAGTGTTTGAACTTATTGCCCAAAGGCGCTTGGAGCAATTGTTGAGCAAGTTGCCATTCTTTTGCTGCAGTAATGGACTTATTTAAAATTTCCGCTTCAGAGAAGGCCTGGTTTTCAAAAATTAGTCGATTTCGTGACTTCCAGAGTTGCCAAAGGATCCAATGGAACAGAGAGGTGTGAGAGAGTCCTATAGGAGGGAGGCACTGGGAGATCCGAGCCGTCTCTAACAGTTGAGCAACTGAACCAACAAGGTCTTCCCTGGGTTTCCGGTGCAGAGGAGCTAAATCCCATACCTTCTGGGCAAAAGGACATGAGAGGAGGAGATGCAGTTCTGTTTCTAAAGCTCCACATCTTTTACATGATAGATCACTGGTGATACCGCGGATAGCGAGGTTATCTCCAACCGGGAGTGCTCTGCGCTTAATCTTCCAGAGGAACATTTTCAGTTTTGGGGGAAGACGTAATTGCCAGATATTTAATTTCCAATTGAAGGACTCAGGTCCCAGAGCTCGAGAGTGAAGCTTGGACAGGACATATCCTGTTTTAGTTGAGTAGGCGCCGGATTTTTCGGGTAACCAAACCATGGAGTCCTTCTTTTTACTTGAGCTTGGGATCAGTTTGCGGATGGTGCTCTCATAGTGCGGAAGATGATGGCGAATGGCTCTTGTATTCCAATCGTTGGAGCTTGGAAGTAAAAGAGAACTGACCTTAAGGTTATGAGCAGCCAAAGTAGGAGGACCAAAAGGGACAAGGGGCAGGGCAGTAGAAAGCCAGGGATCCTTCCAAACGTTTATTGAGTTGCCATCCCCAACTGTCCATCCTAACCCTTTCCTAAGAACCTCTCTTCCTGCCATGATACTCCTCCACCCGTGAGAGCAGGAGGAGGAGATAGAGACCTCTAGGAAGGGTTTCTCATGGCAGTATTTCCCTAGCAAAACCCTGGCGAGAAGGGATTCAGGGCAGTTCAGAATTCTCCAGCTGATGCGTCCTAGGAGGGCATCATTAAATTGTGCAATCTCTCTGAAACCAAGGCCTCCTTCAGATTTGGGAAGAGTTAGCGTGTCCCACGAAACCCAACTCATCTTACGCTTCTCTGGTTTGTCATCCCACCAAAAGCGAGTAAGAATGGATTGAATTCTTTTGCAAAGGGAGAGAGGAAGTTTGAAGCACGACATAGCGTAGAGGGGCATCGCTGCTAAGACGGACTTTAGGAGAATTTGCTTTCCCGCAGCCGAGAGGAAGCGAGAGGTCCAACTGTGAGAGCGTTGGCGGATCTTATCGACAATAGAGGTGAAGATATCCTTCTTTCGCCTACCAAAATGTTCGGGTAGTCCTAGGTACTTTCCAACTCCGCCCTCATTAACTATACCCAGCTTGGATTTAGCAGCCTCTTTAACTGAAGGAGGAGTCTTAACAGAGAAAGTAATGGCCGATTTAGTAACATTGATGACTTGGCCCGATGCTTCTCCATAGCGAGAGATAATTTCCATTAGCTTGTTGCAACTTTTAGGGTTAGACCGACAAAAGAACATCGTATCATCGGCGAAGAGAAGGTGGTTGATGGGAGGGCTACCCCGAGCCACTTTGATACCCGGTAATTGGCCACGAAGTTGCGCCCGATGACAAAGACCCGAAAGCACTTCGGTACACAAGATGAAAAGATAAGGGGAAAGAGGATCCCCTTGCCGTAAGCCTCGGGAAGGAAAAACTTGCCCTTTTGGAGTACCTTTAACTAGGAAAGAGTAAGAAACAGAGCCTACGCATGCCATGATCCAAGATGTCCATTTGTCATGAAAACCAAGACGTCGGAGGACTGCTTCTAAGAAAGGCCACTCAATTCGATCATAGGCCTTACTCATGTCAGTCTTAACCGCCATAGAGCATCGTACCTTAGCTTCCGAAGTGCGCAAGAAATGTAAGATTTCATGAGTGATTAAAACGTTGTCAGAGATAGCACGGTTAGGAACAAAGGCAGATTGATTGACGGAGATGAGAGAAGAGAGCATGGGTTGCAGCCTTTTGGTGAGGATCTTAGCTATGATTTTGTAGTGTACTGTGCACAAAGCTATAGGCCTGTAGTCGGAGACTTTCCTTGGACTAGTAACTTTAGGTATCAGACGGATGTGAGTTTCATTAAGCCTCTGGGAAAGGTAGCTTGATTCGAAGAAAAGACATATATCTCGAGAAACATCTAAACCAATGATATCCCAGAAAGACTGGTAAAAACCCGCAGAAAAACCATCCGGACCAGGCGCTTTATCCGGATGAATAGAGAACACTGCCTCCTTAATTTCAAGAAGAGAAGGGATGGATATAAGTTGCCGGTTCATATCAGTCGAGACCTTGGGAACCAGAGCTTCCTCCACAACTGAATTGGTAGAGGGTTGTCCCGCTGTGAATATGGACTGATAGTAGCAGGAGATGGTATTAGCAATCTGGTCTTCATCATGATATTCATTTCCTTGCTCATCTTCAATTACAGAGACATTGTTAATTACTCGCCTTGCTCTTGTTGCAGCATGAAAGTAAGCCGAGTTACGGTCTCCACTTTGTAGCCATTGAATCCTGCTCCGTTGTCGCCAAAACAATTCTTCATCTCTGTAAAGTTTTTCCAAGCTCGCTGTGGTTGAGGTAATGAAAGGCTGATCAGGAGTTGAAGAAGAGAGAGCAGCTTCGAGGGCTTCCTGGGCTTCCTTAATTAAACGGCTACTGTTTGCATTTTGGGCCTTAGTCCACTTAATAATATGGGCTCTGCACCGATTAATTTTCTCCAAGACAGATTCTTCATGTGGGCTTCTCCAAGATTGGCCCACTAAGGTTCGAATTTCTTCATTGTTACGAAGGCGCCGATCAAACCTAAACAGGCCCTTGTTCTTCCTCTTACAATCATCCAAGAACGTAACAAGGGGTCGATGATCAGACCCTTCGAAACGAAGGTACTCACAACGACCGGCAGGATACGCTTCAAACCAGCCGCAATTTGCCAGAGACCGATCCAAACGAGATTTAATAAAATGGTCATACCGCCAGCCTCGCCACGAGAAGTGATTCCCGGAGTGTTTAACATCCCATAGGCCATTCTGCGCCACAAAGGATCGGAAAGGGATAAAGGAGCCTTCACATCGGGCAGGACCTCCGACCTTTTCGAAATTATCAAGTGTATCATTAAAATCCCCAGTGAGTAGCCATGGGGTTGAGCGATCAGAGCCGAGATTGGAGACATAATCCCAGAATGCTGCTCTGTTTTCTGTTTGAGGGAGACCATATATAAAGGAGATGAAGAGGAGCTGATCCTTGCACTTGATTTGGGTATCGATGAGATTAGGAGAAGATTCTAAGATTTCCAGGTTAACTGCGTCCTTCCAAAATAAAGCCAAACCTCCACTTAAACCCAAAGGAGGGACAGTGAAATGATGAGTATAACCCATCCAGTTAACTACCTCTAGCACCTTGCTATCCTGATTCTTGGTCTCAGTAAGGAACAGTATGTCTGGAAAAATACTGAAGCGTATTTCTCGAAGACGACGAACTGTCAAGGGGCTCCCTATCCCTTGACAGTTCCAGCTCACCATAGCTAAGGAAGGGGGTTTGATGGGATCCGAAAATCCCCCGTACTCTTGGTGATAGCTGGGATAATGTTAATTGGTGGAGCACTTGTTTGACCATGGTCCACTGTATCCTGACGCTCAGGTAAATCTGCCTCATTGGCAGGAGGATCCACATTAAGCTTCTTCTTGGCATTTGGTCTAGTGACGGTGCGCTTTTTCAGACTAACTCCTTGGAGAGGGCTGCGGACAACACGTCTCCTAGGGGAGGCCTTAGCTGGTTTTCTCCTCCCTGAGGTCTTAGGTTTGGTAGTAGTAGGAGCTTTTTTCCTTGGGGCTCCTTTGGGTTTTGAGGGAGCAGCTGGAGGAATTGGTCCCAATCTGAGGGAAGTGTGAATTCTGAGATCACCAGGAACCAGCGAAGAATTCTGTACATCACCAGGGAGATCTTGAGTATTATCTCCCGCATATTGAATTTCCACATCTTGGAGGTGCCCTGAACCAGACCTGGAAGTAGTGAGGAGGGAGGCTGTATGAGTGATTCGTGGGGAGATTCTTTCCAAGGCAGGTCTTCTTGAATGGGGAAGACTGGAAGGTTCACCAATTTCCAACCCTGCAGGCCTAGGAGGCGGAAGACTTGGGGGGCAGGGTAGGGGAGGGCAAGGTGGAGGCGATTGAGAATAGTGAGATCTACCGGATCGAGCAACAACCTCATAGTCAGGTTTCCGAGGAGGGCTGCGATGAATAGGGCTAAGCCTTGGTGGACTGCGCCGTGAATCAGACCTTGAGGTCTCCCTTCCTCTAGGATGGTGGGGCCTAAAATCAGCAGAGTAGGCGCTCCCAATGTCCCTTGGAGATTGGCGTCTATGACCTTGAAGAGTAAAATCTCTAGAAACAGAGTAATGACGGTCAGGAGAACGAGAACGATGCCTGACTACCTCGTCCCTCCTGGAGCGAGAGGGATTCCTTTGTGAGTGAGTAGCTCCAGAATCACGGGATGGAGAGAAGCGTCTGGTATCTCTAGCTAAGGGATACCTAGGGGAAGAGAGGCCTCTGTTTCTTCCCCCACTAGCAGCTCTGTTCTCCCGGCTTCCCACAGGTAGAGGCCTAGGAGGCGGCCTGTCCTCTCTTCTCTCTTCTTGGCGCCTGCGTTCAGAATCCATACGTTGAGCCGCCTTAAGTTGATTAATGCCGAGAGATCTAGAGACTAAAGGAAGAGGGCAGTCCTTTTTTTCATGAGAGAGTTCAAAGCAGTTGAAACAATGTTTCTCTAGCTTCTCGTACTCTAGTTCCACAGTTTTGATAGAACCATCAGGAAGCCGGATAGGCATGGACATTTCCAGAGCCGCTAGGCCATTAATAGGGACTCGGACACGACCTTCTAAGACCTCTCTCGCCTCCAGAGTACCAAGTTCCTTCCCGATAGTGCGAATAGTTTGGTCCGACCAGAAATGGAGAGGGATACCATGAATTTTGATCCAAAAGGTGATGAAGGCTGGAAAAGTGTCAGAGATAATGGGTTCCCATTGTTGTAGAATGAGCATCCAGTTCTTAAAATGATAAGGACCTCTTCGAAGAACAGACTGGAGGTCCGCTTCACTCTCAAAACGAAACTGAAAACATTCAGAACCAAGGTCTCTGCCGACAACTCTACTCTCGAGATTCCAGAGTTGAGGCATGTAGTTGACAACAGCTTTAGGCTTTTGAACTGTTGAGTTAGTGACTCTCCCTATAAGGGTAAGCTTGTTTTCCTCAATGAGCGCAGAGGTATCGCATTGGGGGATGCGGACAGGGGACCGGCGGCGAGAGCTTTTAAGGGTTCCGGCGACCCATTTTTCTTTCTCAGATCTAGTGAGGCGGCTTGCCATAGTGGGTGAGGAATGACCCAAGAAAAGAGAGTAGCTGGACGGGGTAGAGGAAGACTAGGAATGAGCTTTAAGTAAACCTGAAAGACCGAGAGTAACTCAGAAGAGGAGTGAGGCGAAGAGCTGCACACCGCAGTAAATGGTTGGTCACCACCAACCTCGAGAGGGGCTCGAAGGGAGACGGAAAGCAGTCACTGACGGGCCGGAATGCTACCGGAAAAGGACGAGGGGGTCACCGGAGAAGCCATTATGGGGAGGAAAAGGGGAAAAGTTACCATATTTGGTTAAATAAAGTAGGTGAGATCTGGAAAATTTGAAAACCCTAACTTCTTTGAGGAGTCATCGGGAGACGTGCCTGAGAGAGAAAAGTCTAATTTTTTTTCTCTTACCAATACATGTTGGTTTTATTTTAGAGGTTATTCATTTTAGTTACAAACTTATAATATGATAATCCATCAAATAAATCTCTTAAATAAGCTAAACTATTAATGGGATCTTGTGTAGTAAAGGTATATAATATAGATGATCATCAGTTGACAAGAAGTGCCTTAATGATGTCTTTGCATTTGTCCTCCTCGGCGTTTAGAAGATGTCCGTAACCTAAGACTTCGTGGTACTTAATCCATGGAAGCTTATGTGATATGTATCGATTAATTTCGTATGGAATGATTCTGTCTTCCATCCCTTGCCACACGTGGACCGATCCTTCGCCTTCCGCAAACGGATTTTCTAATTCAATCGGGTCGAATTCCCATGTCGCGAATCCGGCTATCATGTCCCGGTGAAGACATTCATGGTCACCTTGTTGCCGGACTTTTTCCTGGGGTTGGAATAGATCATTAAATAAGATGTAGGGTCAAAATGTGTAAAATCTAAATACACAAGAGACTGGCTGAAAGAAACCTATGGATCCAAAACCTTATTTGTTATTTCCATTTTTGGCCCATGAGCTTCTAAAAACTTTTATTTTAACCCCTATATTTCTAAGACAGTACTACTCCCAATAGCACATGAATTTGTATCAAAATCAATCTGTCCATGAACTCTTCTTTCAATTAATTTCCCCCTTGAACATTTTCTATTGTTCTATTCCGAATTTACAGTTTGACACATGAATGTATTCCAAATTTACAGTTTAACCCACAAGCATTGTCATAAAATGCAACAAAAAGTTTTAGCTCATTACCATGCCAGGGCTTGGATTCTCCATTTTCTTCTTTATGATGACCAAATCTTTATCGCTGCATAACGCATTGTTCCCGGTGATCATACTTGAAGACGGAAACAGTTTTTGAGTCAACCACCAATATAACAACCAAGGAACATAATGAGCCACTCTAAACGTCCATTGGTCTTTCTTTGGCATTAGCTCCAACGCTTTACTCAATTTGTCTTGAGGCACTTTAGTCCACCAGTAGTTCACAAATGGAACCACTAAGACTGCTCCAGCTAGTCTATGGACCCCACAAAAGAACATTAAATTATGAGACACAAGAGAAAAGTGTAAGAAACAGAACACGATCAATCCAAATCTTTATTACCTGTGGGGAATGTATTTGAGGCAACTATAAACCGAGTAAGCACCTAGTGATATACCAAGAACGTAGAACTTTGGTCCGATCTTGAGTTTATCGGCAAGTTCTTGAATGTCGTATGCTTCACTTTTAACTGTGCGTGATGGGTGTGGATCACTTTCTCCATATCCTGCCCTATCGTAGAACAAAAAGTATATCCCAAGTTCCTCAATTAGATCCTGTAAAAAATCAAAAAGACAGGTAACGAAACTTTTTTTTGTTTTTATTTTGATAAAATGAAACTAATTGTTTCATTGCATTTAAGGTTGTGGTTGCTTCAAAAGTCAATTTTGCGTTTGCGTCTAGATATGACATGCTTTTCTATAACTAAAAAAAGTTTATATTTTCAAATAATAAAACGTTTTCAGTTCTTCATAAAACATAAACTCAAACGGCGTTTTATTTATTTGCGTATAGCGTTTACCATTAACAAATGCTTTTTTTTTAAAGAACCAAATTAAAGACAGTGAATTCTCATTTGGACAAAAAAAAAAAAAAACAATATCCTCGATTACATATAGCAAAATAAATGCAAATAAGTATCAAAACTGGTAAAAATGGGCATGTGACATGTCCGAGAGTTAAGTAGAAAATGAAAGTGTACCTTAGGGATGGGAAATTCAATGTCTTTGGAGCTGTTGAAGCCATGAACGACAATGATCTTGTAGTTAGCATTGGCTTGATCAACCCCAGATTCTCTATAGGCAAGATATCTTCCATCATCGAGCTTAATTCTTGGAGAAGTAACCGGAGGACCGTTAGGAACGCCGCAGATTCGCGGTGGTGGAGGCCTAAATGATCGGTAAATGTAGCCAATAAGGCAAACAAGGATCGCAACCATCACCGAAAACATCATTATTCTTATATATAAACCTAAAACAGTTTAAAGATTGGTGTACTGAACAAGAAATCCAAAATTTAGATCTGATAAGAGTGAGAGATAAAAAAAAAAAGAGGAGACCTGATTTTTAAGTGAATATGATTTGAGATGGAGAGATGCTTGTAGGCTTGTAGCCTTGGTGAAACTAACGATCTCATATTTATACTAGAAGATCCATATTTGGGAATACTTACAAAGTCTTTAGTTAAGTGTGTATGAAAATTCCTCTCTAGATTTCTTTATTTTATAAATTCTCAGTTTAATTATCACAGAAATTAGTAAAAGAGAGAGAGATGGAGTGAGAAAGAAAAGTGACACAATCACCGTCAGATTGCAATCCACTTGTTGACGTAGCAGACAGTAGGAGGATGGTAGTAGTAGCACGCATTATTGTGACGTTGACATGCGTAATTGCTGTCTTATGATAACAATCTCTTTTTGACTATGACTCTTAGAGCCGTACTAGTATTATTGTTGCATTGTCATTTATCATCATGGGTTAGATTCATACAATGTATCTTGTTAACAAAAAAAACAATCAAATTTGTTCTTTTCTCATGAATCTTCGTGTATGGAGTTTGTATGTTGACGTAATATTATATTGTATGGATTTTGATACAGTTTACACTTTACATGAAGTCGATATATAGGAGTATAATAATGAGAAATTGTTAAAAATGCCCCTTTTTCAATACCCCTTTTCAAAAATGCCCCCTTTGAGAGTCTATTTTTAAGTTTGCCCTCTTTTAATTTTTAATGACTATTTTACCCTTATTTGAAACAAAATTAGGTCCACAAAATACAAAATAATTTTTGGCGGGAAAAGTGATCCCGCAATTTTCCCGCCAAAACACTTGTAAAAACCTTTAAAAAACCTTGTAAAATTTTCCCGTAAAAATTTTTCCCGCCAAAAAATTTTCCCGCCAAAAATTTTTTTTTGCGGGAAAAGTGATTCCGCAATTTTTTTTGCGAAATTTTTTTGGCGGGAAAATTTTTGGCGGGAAAAATTTACAAGGTATTTTAAAGGTTTTTTACAAGGTATTTACAAGTGTTTTGTAAGGTTTTACAATGTATTTTAAAAGGTTTTACAAGGTACTTTAAAGGTTTTATAAGGTATTTATAACTTGTAAAACCTTATAAAAAACTTGTAAAACCTTATAACTTGTAAAAACCTTATAAAATAGCTTGTAAAATCTTATAATATCTTATAAATACCTTGTAAATACGTTGTAAAACCTTTTAAAATACATTGTAAAACCTTATAAATACCTTGTAAAAAACCTTTAAAATACCTTGTAAATTTTTGGCGGGAAAAATTTTCCCGCCAAAAATTTAACGGCAAAAAAATTGCGGAATCACTTTTCCCGCAAAAAAAATTTTTTGGCGGGAAAAAATTTTACGGGAAAATTTTACAAGGTATTTTAAAGGTTTTACAAATTTTTACAAGTGTTTTGGCGGGAAAAATTGGGGGATCACTTTTCCCGCCAAAAAATATTTTGTATTTTGTGGACCTAATTTTGTTATATTTCCTTATATATTTATGATATCTTTTATTAAAGAAGGGTAATTTAGTCATTTTGTACATAAAAGGGGTATTTTTAAAAATGGACATCCATAGGGGGCATTTTTGAAAAGGGGTATTGAAAAAGGGGCATTTTTGTGAGTCTCCCTATAATAATTCATAAATCGTGAAAAATGTTTAATATTAATCAGATTTTATATATCAGGTGTAAATTTATTTTACAAATAAAGTTAGTTAGATTTTTTTTTATAAAAAAACTCCAAATAGAAAACTAACAATAGAAAAAATATTTCAGCTATAAATTTGAACTTATAGAAATTTTTTTTTTTTAAATAAAGAAATCTCGTAATAATAAAAGTAAAATGTAATGTTTTTTTTAAACAGAACACTATAGTATGTTATTTTTAATAATCGATGATATCTAAGAAAATAACAGATTAAAAAAAAAAAAAAAACTGGAAATTGAATAATACAACACTTACCAAAATTATAATGAACGTGAATGTTGTGTGTGTATCTGAAATTTTCTCTGCATGCAGTTGTATATTAGTGTGTATCCATTATTCTCACTTTTCTATTTTGTTCTATATATATACTTTCTTTCCTTTTTTTTTTTCTCTAATTGTTCTTATAAGGCCAACTAAAAACAAGAATTTTAGGCTCTAAATTGTTATCCACCAAATGAATGAGATAAAAAAAAATAGAGATGAATAGTTTTCATTTTGTTCATCTCCTGTAAAATGGATGAAAACTTTTCCCTCTTTTTTTTTCATCTTCATTGTTCATATCATTAGAGATGAAAGAGATGAATAATTGATTTTACACTTTCATCTCAAATAGTAAAATTTAAGATAAATCTAGTTTTCATCCAATTTTTTCATCTAGAGGTGCAACCATTTACAGCTTAGTATTTTGTTTTGTTCATAGCTAGGGATAAAAATGATGTAAACAACCTTTTCTTTGTATAAATTGATATTCACAATTAATTTAACTAACCAATCCAGAAGAATGCATGTGGCTATCTCTTAAAATTTCAAATCATGTCATTATGTATAGGGCTTAAATAATCTGTATCGAGTAAATCACAATCCAGACGAAAGATCCTAAATGTCTAAAACTTTCTAAATTTGTGTGAAGTGCTAATAGAATCCAAAGCCTCTAAGAATTTCATGCGTTGTACGGTCATTAGGACTGAAACAACGATACATGATTGGAAATTAGTTCCTGTTTCAAGTCTTCTTTGTTTTGGTAATTTCCGGTTTAAAAACTGAATTGGAGAATCCCAACCAAATTTAACCGAAGCGAACTACTACAGAAGATGATGCTGCTACTTTAACGAAGGATCACCATAGAGACAATGACACGACACACACATAAAAAGATGGAAGATGGCAACATGCAGAGATTGTAAAGAGATAAAAACAAAGAAATAACTTGAGACCAAAACCACCTGTCCACAGAAAGAGACTCCATTTCGACACGTGGCGTATCCCTACATGCTCGAGACCACTTGTTGATCTTCGGAGAAGACAGAGTAGCATTCTCGTTGCACCGTTAATACAAAGGACCTTTCATCTTTCTATATTATATTTTTGCAATCTGTAAAACAGAACTCCTAAAAGTGAGATTCTCATAAAACACTCAAAAACAAAACTTAGTCGTGTGATCACAATTCAAAGATTTTACTCAATGAAGGTACACGAGACAAGATCTCACGCACACATGTCTGGGGACGAACAAAAGGTAATTTCTACATCAATTGATCTTTTAAGTTTTTTTTTGTTAGTAATGTCATTTAACTTAATCCATTGTTTTCTTTAGAAGGGAAATTTGCGGAAGCACAAAGCAGAAGGGAAGCTTCCAGAAGCTGAACAGTCTCAGAAGAAGGCGAAGTCGGAAAACGATAACGGCCGTTCAGTCAACGGTGCCGGAGATGCTGCTTCTGAGTACAATGAGTTTTGCAAAGCGGTTGAGGAGAATCTGTCCGTTGATCAGATTAAAGAAGTTCTTGAAATCAACGGTCAAGATTGTTCTGCTCCAGAAGAGACCTTGCTTGCTCAATGGTTAGTCTCATAGATCGTTTCAACAACAACTTTCTTTTTTAAATAGAGTTTAAAGTAATTTTTTTTTGTGAGCAGTCAAGATTTACTATTCTATGGGGCGTTAGAAAAATGTCCTTTATGCGGAGGTAATTTGATTTGTGACAATGAAAAGAGATTCATATGTGGAGGTGAGATTAGTGAGTGGTGCAGTTGCGTGTATAGTACGAAAGATCCTCCTAGAAAGGAAGAGCCAGTTAAAATCCCTGATTCCGTCATGAACTCTGCTATTTCTGATGTAAGTTTCCCAAACTAATGGTCCAATCAATCATGCTTTGGTTCTGTTATTTCCCTGATTTGTTTTGTTTGAGTTGTCATTTTATCTTGTTTTGATGTAGTTGATCAAGAAACACCAGGACCCTAAAAGTCGACCTAAAAGGGAGTTAGGCTCTGCTGATAAACCCTTCGCGGGAATGATGATCTCTCTCATGGGACGTCTCACCAGAACACATGTAACGTAGCCTGACTATCTTTCTTGTGATTTCTATCTTTACTACACACTAAAGAGTGGTTTTCCTCTCTGTTATTGCAGCAATATTGGAAGAAAAAGATCGAAAGAAACGGTGGGAAAGTCTCCAATACTGTTCAAGGTGTAACATGTTTGGTGGTTTCGCCGGCTGAAAGAGAACGAGGTGGTACGTCAAAGATGGTGGAGGCAATGTAAGGGTTTAGGGTTTGTAGTACTAGATTTGTTTGTTTTCGTTTTCCAGTTATTAACTCAATGTTGTTACTTGTTCCTCAAGGGAACAAGGTCTACCTGTTGTGAGTGAAGCATGGTTGATCGATAGCGTGGAGAAGCATGAAGCTCAGCCACTTGAAGCTTATGACGTGGTCAGTGATCTTTCTGTGGAAGGGAAAGGAATTCCATGGGATAAGCAAGATCCTAGTGAGGAGGCGATTGAATCCTTATCAGCTGAGGTATCGATTAGCTCATTTACGTAATGCTAATTTCAAATGGGATAGCTTGAAATATATGGTTTTTGTTTGATCTTTTTCAGCTCAAAATGTATGGGAAAAGAGGAGTCTACATGGACACAAAACTTCAGGAGAGAGGAGGAAAAATCTTGGAGAAAGATGGACTCTTGTATAACTGTGCCTTCTCGATATGCGATTTGGGAAAAGGGCGTAATGAGTATGATTCTGATAAACCTTTTAAGATTTTTGTTGTTTTTTGAGGCAGGAAGGGTTCTCTGATCTGCTGGTTTTTGTAGGTATTGTATTATGCAGCTAATCACGGTGCCAGAGAGCAACCTGAATATGTACTTCAAGAGAGGAAAAGTAGGAGATGACCCTAATTCGGAAGAGAGGCTCGAGGAGTGGGAGGATGAAGATGCTGCGATCAAAGAGTTTGCAAGGCTCTTTGAGGAGATGACAGGAAATGAATTCGAGCCATGGGAACGTGAGAAAAAGATTCAAAAGAAGCCTCATAAGTTTTTCCCAATTGATATGGTATAACTGTTGTACCTTGTGTGGCTAAAGTCACCTTTTAAGTTGGATGATTATTGATGTTATGTGTGGATTATGCAGGATGATGGAATCGAAGTGAGAAGTGGGGCACTTGGTCTAAGGCAGCTTGGCGTTGCTTCTGCACATTGCAAGCTTGATTCGTTTGTTGCAAACTTCATTAAAGTTCTGTGTGGTCAAGAGATATACAAGTACTGTTCCTGGCACATTCTTCATTTCTATCAAGAACTCTTCTCTACTTGTGAATGTTCTGATTTTGGTGTTTCATCGCAGGTACGCGTTGATGGAGCTTGGATTGGATCCTCCTGATCTACCTATGGGAATGCTAACTGATGTCCACTTGAAACGATGTAAGGCATGGTGGAGCAAAATATTCGGGTGCTACTCCTTTCTATTATGATTTTGACTTGTGTGTTGTCGCTCTGATTTTTTCAGGCGAAGAGGTATTACTGGAGTTTGTTGATAAGGTCAAGACAACAAAGGAGACAGGTCAGAAAGCTGAAGCAATGTGGGCAGACTTCAGCTCCCGGTGGTTTTCATTGCTACACAGCACAAGGCCGATGCGATTGCACGATGTCCATGAACTTGCAGACCATGTAAGTAAAGTCACTATCATCTATTTGTTGTATGTTTTGTACGTCAATACAGTGAAGTTCAATAGTATTGGATCCATGTGACAGGCGGCCTCTGCTTTTGAGACGGTGAGGGACATAAACACAGCATCTCGTTTGATAGGGGATATGCGAGGAGACACACTCGATGACCCGTTGTCTGATCGGTACAACAAACTTGGTTGCAAGATTTCTGTGGTAGACAAGGAGTCTGAAGATTACAAGATGATTGTTAAGTACCTTGAGACTACTTATGAGCCTGTGAAAGTCTCTGACGTTGTAAGTCTCTGTCTCCTGGCTTACACTTCACAAACGTTTCATCTAATTTGACTATTAATTATGAATTATTGTGTTGTTTTAGGAGTATGGTGTGTCAGTGCAGAATGTTTTTGCGGTTGAGTCAAACGCAATTCCTTCATTAGATGACATCAAGAAGCTACCGAACAAAGTTCTTTTATGGTGTGGTAAGGAGTCAAAATCCAGGGTTAGTGCTCTTTCTCTGTTTTGGTCAATGTGTTATTTGGTGTTTTCTTTGTCGTAGGTTCATGGAGTTCAAATCTGTTGAGACATATCTACAAAGGGTTCTTACCTGCTGTCTGCTCTCTTCCAGTCCCCGGTTATATGGTAATTAATGCTTTTCTTCTGTTTTAGCACTAGTTGTTTAGATCATAACAGTCTCTTTGTGGTGCTTATCTCTTCAGTTTGGGAGAGCGATAGTGTGTTCAGATGCAGCTGCAGAAGCTGCAAGGTACGGTTTCACAGCTGTGGATAGACCAGAAGGGTTTCTTGTATTAGCCGTCGCTTCCCTTGGTGAGGAAGTTACAGAATTCACAAATCCACCAGAGGACACAAAGACATTGGAAGAGAAGAAGATAGGAGTGAAAGGATTAGGGAGGAAGAAAACTGAAGAGTCGGAGCATTTCATGTGGAGAGATGACATAAAGGTTCCTTGCGGACGATTGGTTCCATCAGAACATAAGGACAGTCCTCTTGAATACAACGAGTACGCGGTGTATGATCCCAAACAGGTAAGTAGAGGAAAAGCTGAATCTATTTTTACTTTAACTTGTTCAGCAAGACATTTAGGCCTTGGCTTATTAAGTACTGGTTTACTTGGCAGACAAGTATAAGGTTCCTGGTGGAAGTGAAGTACGAGGAGAAGGGAACTGAGATAGTCGATGTCGAACCAGAGTAGATTACTGACAGCTCACGGTTTCTGATTTTTTGAGAGGTTTGGGCGGCGAGAAGCCATGGAAAAAGATGGTTTTTTGGTTTTTCGTGTTTCATGTTTCTTTTCTAGGTTGCAATGGTGAATGTAAAAGAAGTGGCTTCTTCTCTTATGGTTGCAAGGAAACTATTTTAGCTATATATATAACTACTACTGTGTAAAGCTTTTTGGCTATGTAAATAGATTTACACGGTAATAAGTATAACTATGTAAATAGTTTATCATCATACCATCGATATGAAGCTGCCTAATGTGTAAAAGTTTATATGTTTGTACTTTGTATTTAGGAAACAAGATACGAAAACTGTGTTTTGGACACTAAAACAGAGTTCAAACCTTTGTAACAGAGTCGATAGTCTTTCAGACACAAAAACTGTCACGTCAGTGTGTAAAATCATTTTGATGTTTTTTTTTTTATGAAAAAAGATAAAGCAGTTTTGTTCGTTGATTCTCTGATTGTTACAATACAACATACGGATCCATCAGTCTGATCATCACCAACAAAAATTAATTAAATTATGCAGACAACTTTTAAGGTAATTTAGTTGTCTCTGTGGATTCATAAGCAGCATCGGCTGAAGAAGTGTCTATGTCGTTGAGACCCAGCTCCTCGTTTTGATCCCATGACCTCTCGTACTCTTCATCTGTAAGTTCAAACATAACAACACTTGTAACAACTTATTCGAAACCCGAGTCCTGTCCTAGTTCACATTTTGAGTCTTAATTTATCATTACGCAGGTTACAAAATTCATCAAAAAAAGGAATGTTTAGTTCTTATTCAGATCCAACTTCAGGCTGCATAGTAAGGGTAAACGAGCAACTTACATGTGAGCTGATGATCATCTTTGATATCATCAGTTACCGGTGCAATAAAGGAATTTGCTAACTCGTCGTCAAGAATCAAAGTCCATGGCTTTTCTAAGCTTAGGAGCTGCAAGAATAGAAAAGAAAGCACATCTTCATAATTGCTTTTTCTTTCACCTCAAGAACATGACAAGGCTAATAATTAATAAAGTTGCTACCTTAGTGAGCCTGGCTCCAAATTCTCTCCACTTGTTCTTCTTACTCTCCTCCAGACTATCACCAAAAGTGAATCCGTGAACTCTCGCTAGGCCTGTGAGAACCCATACCATACTTCAATCAGTAGCTAGATAGGAGCTATAATCCATCATTGGTAATTACAAATCTCGAAATGCTTCCATCATCCCAACAACAAAAGCTTTGTAAGGCGGAATATAGGATACTTGGATTACTGATTTTTGCCATGGTTCAATATTTGTGTTCTAGAGTACTTAGCTCACTTAAAAATGGTTATAACAAGGATAATGCTGAGATGTTGAGACTTGAAGGGCATACTCACTTTCTCTGATCTGTGTGACCAACCCTTCCACTGTTGTTACCATTCCACCAAGTGTACCACCAGCTAGCTCCAGATCAAGTTCTGGGATTATCACTCCTGCAGTGTCCGACTAATACACACGATCGACAAAATTTACCATTAGTGACATATTAGAAGGTGTTGCTCTAAAAATAACATATATTATAACCCATTTACTAGCCTACGTAGTGGATCATAAGGTTGTCTACTATAATATTGCCATCAGATGTGTTATATAGCCACACCAAAGGCCCAGAAAGATCAAACAAGCCTGTATTACATCTGATCCCAAAGTTTTGACACTTATCTGGCACTTTCACAACACCTGCCACTATCTAAATATATTATTTTGTGCCAGGACATGAAAATTTACAATGTATAATTTGGCAGTGAGCAAGATTCCATGTCAAATCTTTACCCAACTTAAACTACATATATCCTGGAAGGGCATAAATTTAAACTGTGGCATTCTTAGCTACTTTAAGATACATAGATTGATACGGGGAAATCTCCCTTTATCCGCCACTCTTCTAGAGATTTCTAAGAGAACTGGTGCAAAACAGATTGAAGCGAAAAACTAACCTTGATAACATCTCGGCTAAGGTCAGTAATGTTCCTCACAGAGAGAGTAATTTTCTTTCCCTTCTCAGGAATTGCACCACCAGGCTTCAACTGCTCAGGATAACCCAAAAAAAGTTAGTAACATACCACGCATATATCTGAAATTCTCTAACAAGATCAAACCAATGAAACCCAACCTCAGAATTACGATAGCCACAACTGTCACATGTAGATGCCATGACAATAACTTCCTGAAAGTACGGGATTTCTATTTTCTGTTAAGTGGTAAACAACATCTACGAGTTCACCAACAATCACAATACGGAAATTTGTTGCAGAAAACTAAGGAACGGATGGATCCAAACTTTGAAAGGATACTAGTCACGAACATCCGTGTCTCACACGGCTCCGTACATGCTCCGCAAGTTGAAGGGAAAGTCATCACCTGTTAAAAATATTGTAATGGGATATCAAATTATCTTATTACGATCTAAGTTTTTTACTCTCACAATTAAAACCTTGGGCACTGATTTATTTTCTTGAGTGATAATAACCTAAAACAGAACATTCAACAAAAACTATTCCAAAAGTTACAGAGTCAGGAGTTACCTCTTCAGGCGCAGAGTATCTGAACAAGTTGTCGGAAATATCAGTGCTATTACTCTGAGCAATCGCACGATGACCAGCAGTTGCTCCGATTGTTCCATTAGGTACATAAGCTGTTTTAGCAGAAGGTGCGCCAAGGCTTCCTTCTGATTGTCCAGCCTGAGATGGGTTAGCAACATACCCAAGTGTTGCTTGTTGCTCTGGTGTCCGCTCATAGAATTTGATGGTTAAAGAGGGATCTGGTGATGGAGCATGTCTAGCATGTTGTAAACTTGTCATAAGCAAATAAAAGAAACATAACTTCTCCCTATTTTAGGAATTTCCAAATTATATATACTTACGGGTTTTCAATGAAACTGTTTCCAGCAGGATCATCCAAAATGAAGGTGAAGGATATCTCTGCTTTAGCACAAGCTCTCAGTTTGGACAAGAATTGGTCTATTGCTTCAGCAGTTTTAGGATCAACTTTCTGTCCAGCAAAATATATAGATTACTATTCTTGACTGAAAAACAATCAAACTGGTCATAAAACATTATTGTGTCAGCTCACAGACATAATTTACCTTGCGTTCTTCTTGAAGGGCACTCAGTTCATCGGCAGCCCGTGCTAATATCCCTTCCACCTGTAAATGAATAAAAAAAAGGGAGCTGTTGAAAGGAACTAGGTAATAGGAAAACTAACAATCTGAAACGAAGTTGCATAGGACTACTAGACTCTAACACCAACAAGAGGTTTTCCCAGCTGCTTGCACTGGGTTGAAGCTAACAAAGTAACACAGATAGGGTTCTCATGGTGATCTTCCTAATAATTATTGCCGAAGTGACAGTTTGATTACTATATTGTCATTAAATGCACCACTGATATGTTCTCACGAGTAGACCACACGTTTTAGGTTGTTCTTGTTCTTATATATAAATACCCCCAGAAATGAACTGTTCATAACAAGATGGTTAAGATATTAAGGACTTACAGTAGACAAACTTCCACGTTGGGCCTCTGGTGGAATCTCAAAATCCAGTTCAGGAATCTGAAGACATATATTCGCAAACTTCTGTCAGTTCCAGCTTCAAATCAGCCCCGTTTTCATGGTATGATAAGCAAACTAATTCACAACTTTCAGAAATGTTAGGGGAAGCAATTTCTAATAAATGCACACGAAGCAGCTCAGGTTTGCAAAATCGGAGTATTTTGAATCCAAAGAAGCAATGACATGCCCAGAATTAATAAGACCACTCACCTTAATAGTGGCTGATTCAGATTTCACAACTTGTCGGTCAAATATCTGCATATAGACAGATATAAGAAGGTAATAATTAGTGTAAAGAGTGAGAGACAACTAAAAACAGATAACCCCGTTTCTTATAATAAGCATGGAGGGCTACATTCTACTACATGGTAAGTATATCTCCAAATTAAAAGAACTAAAATGTACAGACAAGAACAGAAATTCTACCTTCACATCACCAGCTAGAACATCTAGATTGTAACAGCATCCTCGGGGTTGAATCTCGCCCGCAAATTGAACTTCATTATTCCTATCAAATAGATCAAAGATAAAATAAAAGGTACATCTTTTGGATTGAGAAAAAACAGAAAATATCTACTGATTCTTTTGAACAATGAATACTTAAAATCATCTCAAATTCGTAAACTTGTACCTTTCTCCGCAATGTGGACATTCAAATGCAGATATTAAGACCTGTAACAAGAAGTAAGTTAGCAATAATCTTGTAAGCTAACACAAGGTATAGAAAGGTTTAAATAAAACGTACAACCAAGAAAACATGTTTCGTTAAACCAACTAGAAATCTAACGCCCGAGAATGTGGTCAATTCATAGGAGCTAAGTATGAGAAATCTGGATCTGGAAAATGAACAAAATTGGTACTCTTCAAAACAGGGTATGACATACCTTTCTGAAGTGAGGAATTAAGGTCAATAGAAATCTGGTTGTTCCCTGCAAAAAATGAAATTAGAAGCTATTTTATGCATAGAAGAAGGATCGGGAGAAAGACCAAGAAATTTCATACAAAGGATTATTACAAAAGGATTCGGTACAAATACACCTAGTATCACCATATACAGATTTCCAATTGACTGCCACAGAACCACAAGTATCAATATATATCACCTCAAATTTCTCAGTCCATCACCAAGACATAGCCAATAAGTTGAGTTTCATCCCTACTACAGTTCATGGCAATCTAAAGAACAATTGGATTGCAGAAAGACCTAATGATAATGCTGAAGTACACAACAGCTATATGCATGTACACAATTGGAAACAAGCTGAAACTAAAGAACAAAGGCTACAGAGAAACTAGCCTGTTTCCTAGACACTATCTAAGTTAACAAAGGTTGCAAACACTATAACTCTGCCTATGAAAAAAGATCACATAACCACCAACATCAGGAATCTCTATGTAAGTGTATGTGTATGAGAGGAAGAGATACATTTTCTTCGCAGCGCATGCACATGCTTTCAACCACATAGAGGGGAGCACCGAAGGAAAGATCGGCGGAAACAGCTTCAACCACTGATCTAACATCAATTTGTTGATCATTTCCGTTGTCCATCATCTCCAAAGTTTCTCCAAACAATCCCGAAAATTCCGATTAAGTGCAAAGTCAGTGATTCCCAGAAGATGCAGACCTAAATTGAATTGTGAGCAAACACATTAGGAAACAAAAAAACAAGCTAAAAGCATGAAACTTTGAGCCCATCAACAGCTAATTCTATAAGGGTCTATATTGAACTCATATTTGAAGCTGAAGAAGAACAAAATTTCATAAAAACAAGTTTTTGAATTTTTACTAAGACAAGTTGGTTCCTCACCTAAACACCAATCTGATAATGGCAAGGTTCCAGGGATTCAAAAAGATTAAACCATAGAATACAAAATCAGAGAGATAAGAGAGTCTCGAGACAGAAGAGAGCTATGAGCAGAGATACGAAACAGAACACGGAACAGAGAGCTTTGTACCTCTAGTAGACACGGAACAGAACAGAACAGAGACAGAGAGGTCACGTCGCCGGGAGAAAAACGAGCAGAGGAGCAAGAAAGTAGAAAACGAAGAGAGGGAATCAATCTCGGCTCTGCTTCCTCGAGATTTAGGGTTCGTTCGTTTCTTTTTCTTTTTGTCTACGACGTCGTTTCAGTTGGAAACGAGGGAAAATAGGTCAAATCATAATTATCCGTTCTACAATATATATATTTTTTTGACAAAAATTTGACCATAGCCTATATCTACATAAACTTTAAAATTTTGGATAAAAACTGTGTTGATGAATATAGGTCAACACAACTTTGTTCGTACGTGTTAAACTCATCATCCATGATATTGACTATAGTAAAATGATGTTCATATAGTTTCCATTGGATATTAAAAGGGCTCATAGAACCAAATAAAAGGAATATTATTTGCATATGATATAAGATGCGAGAGAATACAAACATTCATTGCTAATTTATCCGTTTTTATATTTATACTATCGAAAAATTAGCTTTAAGGTAAAAGATGGAAATGCTTTTTTACTCTTCTCAATTTCGTCTAGATAGTTTTCAAAGGTTGGCTATTATATTGGTGCAGATATCATCTTCAACAATTTGGAACAGTCCGTAATAAAAATAACACCAATTTTTTGTTCAGCGATGAGGTATGATCTCATCATCCACAACAGTGCTTCAACTCGGAATGCAGTTGGGACATACTCCTTCGAAGATTGCATACTCCCATGAATGGTGCCTCGTCGTTCAATTTGGAGCAATACCATCCTAATTCTAAAAGAATATTTTGTTATTTCCATGAACTATCTACAAAACATCGGTGACTTTGCTCACTTCCATCCCTGAAGAAACACTAGGATGAAGTTCTCTATCCAGCTCCAATTGGACCAAAGTCCATAAACTTTAACTTCCACCGTACCAAAGTCTCGAGAAAAATTTATGCCAAATAATATTTATTTACATATAATTTTTTTGCATAACGAGATCTACAAGATTTTATATATATTTCGGGATTGAAAAAACAAATCATGCAATATTATAGATGGTAATAAAGATTAAAGTTAACTATAAAAAATGAACCATGCAATATTATAGTTTTTACCTATATTACTATAATATGATAGTATAATTTATACACTAACGAACTTTAGTACATAATAAATCAATATTAGCATATTATTATTATTAATTTGGTCAAAAAAATTAGAAAAAATGTACGTCACACATAACTCTGATAACACCAAAGGGGAAATGACGTTTTTCAATCCGAACAAATTGCAAAGTACGTTTTTATACATCAACAAAGATATATATATAGTGTTTTTTTTTCAACCTCAACTCTAAAAACATTCAAAAAACCTATCCAAACTATTAGATTTGAGCGTAAAACTACATTGACTTATACAAAATTAGTTAACCCATTGTTTTCGCTCATTTAGATGACACGATGGCGATGATGTATCATTTTATCTTAACTAAATGACGTCGTTGTAGTTATTTGAGTCCATAAACTCAACCGAACAACGTCGATTTGGTCATTCGAGTCTATAAAATCAATAAAGCGACGCTATTTAGTTAAGACAAAATAACACTGATAAAGATAAAATGACACTTTGTTGTCATCGTGTTGAGTTTTTGGATTCAAATAACCAAAAGAATGTTACACTTCGTCACTATAGTGTCGTTTAAGTGAGCAAAAACAAACGGTTGACTAATTTTGTTTAAGTCAATGTAGTTTTACGTTCAAATCTAATAATTTGGGTAGTATTTTTGAATTTTTGTAGAGTTGAAGTTGAAAAAAAGCATTGTATCTTTGTTGAGATATAAAAATGCACTTTATAATTTGTTCGGGTTGAAAAATACTCTTTTCCCTAACACCAAAAATTATATTAATGTCACAAAATGTGCAGTGTCTGCGTAACGGTGGGGATATTGGTGTGGTGGGTTCAGAAGTTTTAAGGGTGTCTTCCAAATTCATCCCACATGATGCCCATAATCTGACTTACAAAAATGAAAAAAATGCATTGAACTAGACATCGTACATGTGTTATACATCAAGTGTTACTTTTCCCTCAATAAAATGTCTCCATAACTGCACTGATGCCATACCTATTTATTTGGAGAACTTTACGTATTTCTTTCACGCGGTAAGTCTTTTATTTCTTTCCTCTTTGCTTGCGAAAATTTCCTATAATTATGTTTGTGATGTGGATTTATTTCTCTTATATGTAGAGAAATATTCGATTTTATAGTTCTAGAAATATAATACTGTAGACAAACAACAATCGTAGGAGCTTCTTTTAACAGACACACACACAAAAAACAACCGTATGCGAGATAAACAACCATGCTTCTGACTTTATTTATATAAGCTGCAGCCTGCATGTCTAACCACACGATCTAAAAAAAAAAAAAGTAAAAACCATAACAACTTTGCTTCCGTACATATATAATGTCATTTGTTTGTTTGTTTTTTTTTTTTTTTTGATAAACAAAACAAATTAGTGCACAAAAAAAAAAAAAACAAAACACATTAATTATCTGTTATTTGCTAATGGGATATACATGTTGGAGTTGGTGGCTAGTGCAAGAGGAAGAGATATTATTTTCTGTAAGCCATCTCTTATGCCAATGAGGCGAAACTTAAAGTACTTCTCTAAAGATGAAAGATTTAGTGGGGAAGAAGATCATATACCTCATGATACTAAACCAAACATTTGTTGGGCAATTTACAAACTAATGCATTTCTCATATCTTGCTGATGAGAACCTAGTTACAAGCGTTGTACTAACTGCTACGCACAATTAAATATCTCAAAGGTATACTCTTAGTGGATTATTGGTTCACCCTTCTACTTTTTGATCTTAAAGAGAAGTGTTTCACAGGCATCATATGATTATGCACGTCAGTATATATGATTGTGTTTCCTCGTCTACTTTTCGTTGTTCATTGTCTGGAAAGTAGCCATAAGTTTGATAACTATGCGGAGCTGTACTTGGGGACCATACTTAGGTACCAGTGGAGATCGATCACTCACGTGTGTGGCTATGCATAGATTTCGGAGGATCTACGACAACGTTTGACCATGTGGCTTTATTTAAATTCGAAATATTTATTATATAAAATGTAAACTATTTTGTTCAAAAAAAAATGTAAACTATTTATAAGAGTATATTCAAAAGGAATACCATAAAAGTGTTATTTTTCAAAAATTCTCTAAAAGTGGAAAATAGTCGAAAGAGAATAAAATTAGCAAGATGAGTGAGAGTGGTTATTAAAAATCTGAAAGCCCATAAAAAATCAAGAGACGTACGAAACATATATTAGCCCATTTAGAAATTGGTAGAAAATCACTAGGAGTCAAAACTAAAATAAGAGGTTAAATACAATAAATTTTGACCAGTTGAGCCAAATAGAATTATGAAAGTTGAGTCTCCAAAAATTAATGTGTGCATGTGAGGTGGAGCCTGACCTTCCTCTTTTTCTTAGACTGTGAGGATGGGTCTACCCACATGCATGGAACACCGTCTAAGAAAATAAATGTTTAAGATGAAATGAGCAAATACTCGTTTTTTTTTTGTTTTGTAAAAGGATAAATTTCAAATACTCGTTTTTTTTTTGTTTTTTGGTAAAAGGATAAATTTCAAATACTCGTGTTATTTCTCTATGAAAAAGATCACGGTTTCTGTTTGTTCGTTGTTTTATGGAGTGCCTTATTTGGGTTGATTACTTGTCCTCTGATGTCCAGATAAATATAACCCTAGGTTTAAATTTTTAGAGGACATTTGTGGAAAAGGACTATTAAGTATTTTTATTTGGAAAAATCAAAGCTTTTGAAAACTTCAAAAACTAAAATACTTGAACCATTGAGAAGTCGAGATATGTGGCTTCATGGCGGTCATAAGAAATTTTGAGTATCCATTGTCTTTACATCAATGTGTTGATTATATAGTTCATGACGGTTGTTGTGCATGATTGTGATCGTTTTCAACTGTATCCGATAGTGATATATATTTTTTAATAGTTGCCTAAACAATTATGACCGTCTATGACTTTAATTAGTTGATCATTTATAAGACTTTTCGAGTATTGTTTAAAGAAATTGTTCATATGAATGTTCATGGATTGTTAGGATGATCGTTCAAGCATTATCCTTGAATAAAGATGTTATGAACTTTATCAGTGATTTATAGAGTGGTATGTCAATAAAATATCACCGTGTCACTTCGTTTTAATTAGCCATGGCAGCTCTTTATGTGACACATACGGATATACCTAATAATTTCGGTTAGCTAGGTCGGCTAGTTAATTGGCCATCAGCCCATCCTACTTCATGCTACATCATCGTGGCTTTGTGTTATACTCCTTTTAGTCATGTAGAATTTGTGACTCTCATGGCTTCCGCTCTTAGCAGGTTCGTACGTGATCTGTTCTTTACTTAATTTGTCTATACACCAAACAATATGCGAAAAATTATAGATGGATTAGTTTCCTTATACAATATATTTTTGCACAGAACATCATCAACTGGCGTATACTTTTAATTACAAACATAATTCTTCATACACAAAGTTCGCCCTCTCACCAACAAAATGGATATCGAACAGGCTGGCCTACGTCCTTGCAAGAAGGAATTCAATGCAATTTTTTACTTAGGTTTTGGAAAGACGATATGGTAAGATTACGACATTATGATTATGTGTGATCAATGTTTTTGTTTAGTTCAAGACTACTGGACCAAATTTTCTTAACTGTATCCGTCAGGATGTCAACGCGTCATCAAAAGTTCAAGACTACTGGACCAAAGGGTCCGACCCCAACTCTATCGTAATTTATCTATAGGTGTGTTTTGAAATGGATAAAAGACATAACATGGTCCAAATAGATGAAAGCAAAATGATAAGACTTATAAATAATAAAGAAGCGTACTGATTTTTGTGTGTTTTGTAATGTGAAATAGAACGGCTCGCAACTCAAAATGTCAGACTCTATCTATGCAAAAAATGTCAAAGACACGCAACTCGTTTATATACCATTCATATTGCCAAACTTTTGGAACAAATATTTTTATTAAATATCATATAAACACAAAGAGCCAATCCACTGGGATTGGAGTGATAAAATCCCAACTGCTTGGAGCAACATGTAGCCTACATTATAACCTGAAAATCTAAAGATCATGGCAATATATCAAATCATATCACTGTAGGATAAGTCCAAAAATAGAGGTACGTACGAAGACAACATACCATTTTATAGTTTCTATACCAAACTTTATTGACCAAGTACTTTAGATAGATAGAAGTGCACCGATTATTGCAAACCCTTATAAATAGACGGCAAATGAAGAGGAATTTACGGCAGCTTCCAGCTTCCTAACTCCTAATTGCATATATGGTAGGTGTCCTTCTCGTCAGAACACATGTTTGTGAAGATTAATCATTGGACAAACTTACAAAAATTGAATTATGATTAAAAGTTATCTGAACATTTAGTTTTGAAAATAACATATTACCTAACAAAACTAGTATTATTTTGTCTAACATCCTATGCATTCTGTTTCGAATAGTTGTGGTAATAAAAAACCAAGTAAATGAAGATATATAGTAGAGTTTCAGTGTTTTAATTAAGAAAAACGCTGAACCGAAACTAAAATGGTTAGACACAATATTTAGTTTCAACAAGATGATTCAGCAGTTTGAACAATCAACTTTTTTTTTTTTATTGGAGTTATTCATTTATACAATGTTCTAAAATGCATTAAGCATTTAGGCAGCTGACAAACGCCTAGTGCCTAACTGTACATATAGGCGCATCCACTTAGGTTCATATTGCAATATCTTTTACCCTTTTACTATATGTTTAGTGACAAAAACCAATATTTCTCTTATTTTGGATGAAGGTATAGTAGTTATTAAATGTTCAATTTAATAAACTATTGATGACAAAATAAAAATACAAATTACTTTAATTGATAAAAACATAATCTTATAAAAACGATCGATGAATACATAATATTTATTGAAATCTATTCATTATAGCTCTTAGAGCATATGCGCCGGTAGAGATTTTCAAAGGCTCTCAAATATCTTATTTTAATATATATAATTTAGTTTAACTTAAGAGAACCTATACTCGTCTCTTTTTCTTACTTATTTTTTTTAAATATTGTTGAGGATTTGTGAAACAGATGCTTTTGACTACTAGTATTCTGGCCCTGCTATGCAGGGACAATTAATGCCAATTTAGACCATATATCAAAATATTTTGGGAATCAAATATATGTTGCCTTTAGTTTTTTTTTTAAATAGAAGTTCATTGAATCTATTATCTAATTAGTTAAATTTCAAAAATATGAAACAAATAAATTATTGATGGAAGACGGACAAACTTTGTGAGCATACTACATAATTATTAATATAAAGTCATCTATACGTTACTGGTTGTGGAAAGTCTTTGCTCCATCTCCTAATTTTCCAGACACGCTTGCAAACCAAGTTTCTGAGATATAGAAACCAAAAAAAAACTTAATTAGATGGCCACAAAAAAAAGAAAATCAGAGATAAAATTCAAATGAGTAAAATTTAATAAAGCTGAATCGAAAATAACCATTGTGATTTGTGAGCACGCCCAACAATCATGAAAAAAGTATGAAGAATTAGAAGATAGAAATTAAGCATACAAAAAAATGATTGGAGTTACTTATAAATCAATCATGACTTGAACGTTAATCTTCCAAACTTTGTTTTCAAAACTTACTTGATTTGAACAATCGCTGAGGATGGACCGGGAATTGATGGAGCCATTATACTCGTGATCGGGCATGAAAGACGATTTTGAGGCCTGATTAGAAACTGTTTTTTTATATTCAACATAGATTTAAAATAAAACAAAAAATTAAAAGATAGTGGATGGTTCTCGACTTCTCATTTAAAAAAAAAGATATGAGAAAGAATGGAGGATTTAGAAGAAAGAATGGAGGATCTAAGGTTACGAAAAAGAAGAGAAGAAGAAGAAGTTACAATGATTTCGTCAATTAAAGTGGGAGAGAGTTGGAAAGAGTGGATAATTTTGAGATCGTGGGGAATGAGCAGTTACTAAGAAAGTGGTAAGATATTTTTTGTTTTTTTTTTTTGTTAATTTTTTCCAGAAATAATAGGAATGGATTACGAAAGTAAAACAACAAAATTTGAGAGTTTTGCCACATGTCAAAAAGGAGAGTGTGTCAGTTTTTGTTAAAATGACTGTTGATTTAGTAGAAATAGATAGGGTGATTGGTAGTGGCTTTGAGAACTGTTATTTTTTTTCTAAAATCATTAAAGTCTAAAATTTTCCACTTTTACTTCCTATTTTTTCTCTAAAGTCCTAACCCACCACTTTTATTTTTTTCTTCTTTAAACTTCTACATTTCTAAAAGCCATGTAAACAAGGCTGTGAGAACTTTTTTGTTAAAATTAAATTAAATTATTTTTTTGTTTTTCATTCTATTCTTATTCTTAACTCTATTAATATTAAAAACTCTTTTTTAATCTATGAGTAGCTTATTACAAATAAATATTGGACTAACTAATAATACTTTTTTTTTCTGATTCTTTTAAGATCCATTTTCCATAATTTTTGGTGAGATTTACTGATATTCGGAAACCATCATCAATTGCATCAATATCAATAACAACGATCTTTTTACTAGATGTAAAAATTTTATTGTATCGTACATGTCATCATCTCGTCATTTCTATTATTTAAAAGTTATAATTTTAAAACTCATAATTTTTATTAAGTGGTTTTAAAGCCTCAACAGCCAAAACTTTTACTGCGAAAGTCTTTAAAGTTAAAGTCCTTACAGCTAAAGTTTTTACAATCAAAGTTTTTAAAGTCAAAGTCTCTACAATCAAAAATAAAAGTCGTTACCAATCGGCCCCTATGTCCTACGGAGGACGTACCTTAACTATAATTCTAAACATAAATTGTTTATCTTTGTGATGAGTATTATATGACCTAAACCCTTTAATAAGAAAAAGTATAATATGGCGTAACGTAATAAATTAAGTTGTTGACAAACAAAAAAAACACACATAATTTGTTTAATGAGATCTATTAGTTATAGTTCTTATGTCAAAGTACAATTATGCCTACCAAAATAAATGATTTCAACGGGAAGTCTGAGATGATGGGCCGACATGTAGTTACGTTTCTTGAATTGTGAGAGATGATATTTATTATTCTGAAGAAAACATTATTTACTAAATAAATTTCCATTTCACATCTTCTGTAATCAATGTGGGTAGATGAAGAAATTGTAAATTCGATGGCCTACCATATGGGTCTCTTTTTTGGCGTTTCTATATATAGTAACCTCGACTCCAAAGGCATTACGTGACTCAATAAAATCAAGTCTTTTGTTTCTTTTTATACAAAAAAAGAGTCTTGTGTTTCTCTTAAGTTGGTTGAGAATAATTTTGTTTCAATGGAATCCAATTGTGTTCAATTTCTCGGTAACAAGACCATTCTCATCACTGGGGCACCTGGTTTTCTTGCCAAGGGTACGTTCTTTCTACACCTTGTCGGTTCAGTACTTCGAGTCTTGTTTTTACTATATTAACGACGTAATGAAAATTTAGTAATCGATTATTTGCTTCATATTATCTTTGTACCTAGTTATTATAGATTCTTGACATGCGTGAAATTGGTTCTATAATTGTACGATTGGCATCAACATAGTTTTCTTATATATGGTGAAAACTTAACATATTGTTAATCGTATATTCAAGACAGAAGGATATGTAGATGTCCCGCTAATTATGTGTTTGTTTTTCTTGTTTAAATATAAAAAATGAGAGTGATAGTGATAAAAACTTTAAGATATACCAAGAATATTGAGTCCTATACTGTTCATTTCATTTATTGCAACACAATAGATTTTTATGGTCCAATAATTATGATACATGCATCTTACAAATATTCAATGACTTCTGTATATATTTAATTTGAGAAAACTTAATAATTCTGTATCATAGTATTTGTTGCGATGGTGAAGTACTATTCATTTATAAACCAGAATGGATCTTCAAAAAAGGGTGAATATATAAAACCAGTATCGCCATTTACGATAATGAATATTTAAACACTCTAAAAAGGGTGAATGACTGAATGCCTATTCATGTGTAGTATACTACAAGATTAATTTAGTAACGAAAATATTGTTTTTAATTATTATTATTTTCATAGTTTTGGTAGAGAAAATTCTAAGGTTGCAACCAAATGTGAAGAAGATGTACCTTCTGTTGAGAGCTCCCGACGAAAAATCAGCCATGCAACGCTTATATACTGAGGTATGGTGCATATTAAACCCTATAACCAAAACACTTCTACACATAAATCTAGAGGCGATCAATTAATAAATTATCTCAATTGTATCAACAATAAGTTTTCTTTCCCTATTACAATGATACAACAGGTTATAGAGATAGACCTCTTTAAAGTGTTGAGGAACGATCTAGGTGAAGAGAACTTGAATGCCTTGGTGCGGAAAAAAATTGTGCCGGTTCCAGGTGATATATCGATCGATAACTTGGGACTGAAAGACACCGATCTCATACAACGTTTGTGGAGTGAGATTGATATCATAATCAACATTGCAGCCACAACAAATTTCGATGAAAGGTATTTACGAGAATAATTGATGGTATATATCATATTTACTTTGTATAATAATATTCAAATGTAACTTGATTTTCATTTTTCTATTTTTAATAAAAATAAAAGATATGATATTGGTCTTGGGATCAACACATTTGGAGCCCTTAATGTTCTCAACTTCGCCAAAAAGTGTGTTAAAGGACAATTGCTTCTCCATGTCTCGACCGGTGAGTTCCAATTATTTTGATTTACAAAAGTTACCGTATATATACCGATGCTTAACTATAGATGTATTGTTTTAGCGTATGTAAGCGGAGAACAATCCGGGTTATTACTAGAGAAACCATTCAAGATGGGGGAGACTCTCAGCGAAAAGCGGAAACTAGACATCAATATAGAACATGAACTAATGAAACAGAAATTAAAAGAGCTTCAAGATTGTTCTGATGAAGAGATCTCGCAAACAATGAAAGATTTTGGAATGGCAAGGTTTGTGGCCTAGTCACACCATCAATATTTTCAAACTTTACTTCAATCATCCATTAATCCTTTAATCAAAATGGTCTTAATATAGGGCAAAGCTTCATGGATGGCCAAATACATATGTATTCACCAAAGCAATGGGAGAGATGCTAATGGGAAAATACAGAGAAAATTTGCCACTTGTTATCATACGTCCAACAATGATTACAAGTACTATTGCCGAACCATTCCCCGGTTGGATTGAAGGGTTGAAGTGAGTATTGGTTTATTATATCCTCATATCTAATTTGATCTCGTGCTCAATATTCATCTTTAATTTATTTTTTCTTAATTGTATATGCAGAACATTAGATAGTGTGATTGTTGCATATGGTAAAGGAAGGCTTAAATGTTTTCTTGCGGATTCAAACTCAGTCTTTGACCTTGTAAGCACAATCAACATATCTTTGTATATTAAATAACATGATTCAAACACAAGTCAACACCTAAATCAATTTATAGCATAATAAATAACAGGTTACTTGTTTAAATTAATATATTATTATAAACAATTCCTTGATAATATTTTGATGGGAAAAAATTATAATAACATTTGCAGATACCGGCAGACATGGTAGTTAATGCGATGGTTGCAGCCGCAACAGCTCATTGGGGAGATACCGGGATTCAGGCAATATATCATGTTGGTTCTTCTTGTAAGAATCCAGTCACGTTTGGACAACTTCACGATATCACGGCTCGTTACTTTGCTAAACGTCCTCTGGTTGGTCGGAATGGTTCACCAATCATAGTGACCAAAGGAATCATTTTGCCCACTATGGCTCAATTCAGCCTCTACATGACCCTTCGTTATAAGCTTCCTTTACAGGTAACTTAACATTAACTCTATGATTTGATTTTTGGAGTTTAGGAAAAAAGTTTCCAACTTATGTTCTATTTTCATTTCATTCCCCAACTCTTAAACTTGCAAAGAACACTAAATTTTGTTCGGTTTTTTTGCACATCTATTTGTTGCTAACAAAAAATATGGAGTAATTTTTTTTTTCCACCTTTGTTTTTCACTTCTCAGTTGTTTGTTTTTTTTTTTTTCACTTCAGATACTTCGATTGATAAATATAGTATATCCATGGAGTCACGGAGATAACTACAATGACCTCAGCCGCAAAATCAAGCTAGCTATGCGACTAGTTGAGCTTTACCAGCCTTACTTACTCTTCAAGGGCATGTATGTATCATCACTCATAATCTTTCATCAAACTTTAAGATTAATTAAGACAGTAACATCTTTACTACACATGAGTTATTATCATATTTTAAGTCGTCATGCGTGCAAGTTAATTAAGTCATGACATAATATTAAATATTCTTGTTTTGTGCAGATTTGATGATTTAAATACGGAAAGACTGCGAATGAAAAGAAAGGAGAATATCAAAGAGTTAGATGGATCGTTCGAGTTCGATCCCAAGTCCATTGATTGGGACAATTATATCACAAACACACACATTCCTGGCCTCATCACCTATGTGCTTAAACAATAAATTATATACTACTAATATGTTTGGAACTATTGTATTGAGTGTGAATCTCGTGTGTAATATCATTATATATATCAACACATGTTAAAGAATACTATTATGTCAGCACAATTTAATTACAATTTCTGGTTTCATTCAAATATGAATTACATCTAAAAATATACAATTTCTGTTGGCGTGTAAGAGTTCAGCAACTTCACCAGTTCAAAACAATCTATCGCAAAACTACTGTCGTCTTTTGTTGATCAAACATATACATCATGAGTCATGACTCAGATTAGTGGTTCTAACTTAGAGTGTTGTGGGGAGAAACTCCAACATAAGAATGTTATTTGGTTAAAAGCTGTGAGAGCTTCCCCCTAATAAAAGAAAAAATTCATGGTTCTTCTAACAAATATGAGTCAAATAATCTGGCTATTTACTACGAATGCTCTAACATTATTAATCTTCAACTACCACCACCACTGATGGGATCCAGTTAAAATATTTTCTGAGGCTAGATCATCATAGCCTTGTCAGTTGAATTTAAGTTCGATAGGACCTAGCACAAGTGACTCTACAGCAAAATTTTGGATGTTTCTATGTAAACTAGCTACTGTTTCTAGTCATGTTCATTGTTCAACTTGTTGGACCACTGCAACAAAATTAATGTAAGCACTACTTGAGCCTAAAAAGCTTTTAATATATGATGAAATACCATTCATTACCTTTTTTATGTAAGTTTCTAAGAAAGACTATTTAGTATACACAACAATAATCTAGTTTTTGTATCATTTTGTTGAAGGTACATGGCTCATTTTGAAAAAATAAGTCTGAGCTTCTTATACAATAAATGGTTGTTGAGCCTTTTTGGGTCCTCTTGTCCTTCTCGGGTTAGCGCTGATCATGCAAGAGAATGCGTTTCTCAAATCCGAATCCTCTTCACTAGTGAGGAATTTTGCTGCAGCTGGATTTGCCAAGAGGAGCTTGGCCACTAGGTAACCTGCGATGGACCAAGTCTGGTAAAGCCGTGCCTGTTTACCGATGAATCTTGCTCTTTTGGTATCGTAGTACTCGGGCCATTTGTCTAAGGATATCCGTCTCTCGGCTAACTCAACAGCCTTTTCTGCAATCTCTGGTCTACCCATTTTGATGCTTGCTACTGTCAGCTGGAAAAAAGCAAGATGGAATCCGGATTTCAAATTAGCATAAATGTGGCTTTGGAATTCTCATTGATAAACCAAGCCAATTATCTCGTTGTGCAATCCAATATGTCAGAATATCAGTTCTAGTTCAGTTGCAAATCTCAAAACCAAAGATAAAAACCGGAAAACCAAAAAGGGATAGAGAGAAATCAGAACTAACCTGCCATAACAGAGTTGGCCAGGCACCTCCATTGTGATAAGACCAAGGACTGCAACATAATCAAGATGCTTATAATGAATAATTGGAATGGTAGAAATACTAAGTGAAAACTTTAAAACATCTATTGAAGATCATATGGGAGTGAGAAATTACGTGTTCTTTGGATCACTTCCGGTTATAATTCGCCATTCTTCACCTTCCATAGCAGGGTAACAGATCTTGAGCGGCATGTCTGCTACAAGCTCTGCCCATTTGGCTTCAATGAGATCAAGAATTGCATGTGACTGATCATTTGTAGCCAAACTGCTCACTATAGACCAAAGGTTCCCCAGAGTAAAGAATCTGAAATCCATGTGGGCGGGCTGAAGGTTTCCAATCAAATATCCTCCTCTGTTGGGCATAAAATCAACTAACCATGAGGGGATCTGATCTGGATAGATGTTGAATTTATTAACCGCATCATAAGAGTATTCTTCGGTCTGGTAACGGTATATTTCATTGATTTTTTTCAGGTCCAGCCAGTAGTATTCCCTGATGTGGAAATTTAATGCAACAAGACGATTGTTGAGAGCTCGGATAAGATCATCTGACCCATCCTCTGGCGTAAGCATCTCACGTGCACAGACCAAAGCCGAATAAAAGAGTGCCTGAGAAAGTAAAACATAATAAGCGGTTTTACAACTGCATAGACAGCTTCTGGTGCAAATTCAGACTGAAGGAACTGCTCACCTGAATCTCCAGGGGATGACCATGGATTCCCATTCGACGGTCTATCATGCAGGACCCATCAGTGACTAATAAAGTAGGGAACATATCGAAACCATCAGCAAGACACAGTTTCAAGATCATCTTGATTCCGGTCTGCACATCAACTCTTTCCTGCACTGAAAGATCACCCGTGCATTTTCCATATGCTCTTAATAATATAATCCACCACAAGCCTGGAATATCCGAAACAAATGAAAAGTGAGTCATGTAATCATAAAGAGCAAAAAATTTAAAATATCCTTTTCACACAGGGATCTGAAGCTTCTCTTACCAGAATCTACCGGGGCAACACGTCCAATAGCTGCTTCCCCAAAATCAGGATCTAAAACTTCTTCGGTCATTGAATCATCGCCATCAAGAGGAACAGTTTTCACCTTGAAACTACAAGGCATCAAACCTTGACCTGGGCTATGGCAATCCATGGTTTTTTCCCAACTCTGGTCAGGGATAAGTATCATATCAGCTCATAACATAACCAAATATTACGCTGGACTCGGTTTAACAAAAAGAGGTTACTACTACAATCATTTCCCTTTAACCACAAAAACATTTGACAACATAATGCTTCCATATGAACTAATCATATTTAGAACTAAGTTAAGAAAAACAGAAAGACTCTATTACCTGTAACTGGAGGGTGTAAAGGATGAAATTGCGAACAATATCATACTCTCCTTTAAGAAGAAAGGCAATCCCCGAGGGTATGAAATCACGAATGAAGACCTGATCATAATTCAGAACACTAGTAGAGCTCGGGTCATTCGCAGCAATGGTTCCAATAGGACTTCCACAATAGAAAACAACAGACTGCCTCAATAGATCCCAAGCTTCATCCTCAATAGACTTTGTTCCAACTGATTGTGCATTACCATTAGATGAAAGACTTCCATTTACAGGTAGAGGCATTTCATCCAAGTCGCTTTTCAAACCGTCAGAAGGAAGTACCGTCGATCTGATGCTCTCCTCAACATCATGTTTTTGGCATTTGCAAACAAACTTTTTACCTTTCAAAGAACAGTTTGAACTATGAAATGAATTTCCTCCCACCGCGGAGTTCGATACGCTTGAGAACTCATGCGAGTTTGTACACCGGACGCCCTTTCTGTTTATACTAACGGGTTTAAACGAGAGGTTTGGAGTGGAGTTAACAAAGAAAGAAGCTAGACAACAAGATTGAGATAAAGATCCCAATGGAACACGTAGAACAGTTTCTGAAGCTGCCATTTTGAGTACTACCCTATATACTCAGAGAATAAATGATCAAACTTTAAAATGATACCTGCAAGAATTGGATAAGGAGACATAAGAATCCGGAAAAAAAGAACAAACTTTACACAAGAGACCTAAACATGTGGGAAATGAATGAATCAAATCATACAAAAAATTCAACCTTTTTCCAAAATTTCGCTACAATCATAGAGAAAACACTATCGAACAAGTCCAATTTCAGTGCTTTATCGTTATATCCGATTTTTTTACTTTTAGCCTCAGGAATTTTCAATGATTGCGTATAGCTATAGGAACAAAGAAATGGGATAAAAGCATCCACACGAAAGAGATAACGATAGAGACTTACTTTGATGATCCAGATTCAGCTTGCGAGAGAGAGACTTTGAATCAGATGATTGTGAAAAATCCTCGAGGGAGAGACAGAACCAAAATCCGGTAAAGTGACTGGTCCAAAAACCCTTGTTTTCGAAACACGAGCTTTTAATTTTTTTCCATCATCCACGAGTTAACGCGTGTGAAACGACGACGTGTTCAAACTCTAAACACTTTTCTTTTTTTCTTTTTTTGTTTTTCTTATTAGTTTGTTCTTTTAACAGGATTTGAAATGGACAAGGCTGATCCTAATGGTTATGTGTTTGGTGGATTGATTTTGGATGGTTTCTTGACTCAACGGAGATGAGATATATATGACTTATATCCAACCCAACCCAACCCAACCCTTGATAATTACATTTGGTACGCCTATGTTGAAAATGATTTCAACTTTCATGTTAAAATGTGAAATAAGGGGAAAACGACTTTTTTGTATCTCAACTCAGTAGGTATGTTTAATTCATAGCTTAATTATATCTTTGTATAGATACATATCCGAATTAAACAAAAATTTAACTCTCTCTCTCTCTCTCTCTCTCTCTCTCTCACACACACACATAAAAATTATCTTCAAATTAGACATGAAAAGAGAAGTAACTTACGTAGATGCTAATATCATTAATTATACTGTCAAATTGTCAATACGTGGTGGTTAGTAGGTAATTAATTTTTGGATCCAATGTTCATGATATTCAAATTTGGTGTTATTAGATCAATGATTTTAAAATATATTATTTAAAAATCAAAGATATTTAATCATTTACCCTTGGAAGTACATTTTGGACTTTGAAACAAGTTTTTTTTATCGCCATGGAGTTTTAATTATACTCTTGAGATATCATGCGAGTTTGTACACTTGACTCCTTTTATATTTCTAGTAATAGGTTTAAACGAGAGGATATGAGTTGAGTTAACAATGGAAGTAGCTTGACAACGGCTCTGAATGATAACTGTGAACTGCTATAATACAGTGTATACAACTTTGACATTTATTAATCACAAAAACTTTATCAAACCCATTACTAAAAAAGTTTTACTCTCAGTTTTTTTGTATAGTTTTCTCGTACAACTCTTTATTACAGTTTGCACTATTTCGGAAAAACTTACAGCTTTAACTAACAGCTAAAAAACTTATACAACTTCCGGTTACAAATCGGATCCAACAAGATTGAGATAAAGATCCCAATAGGAGATATTCCGAGATAACACTATTGAACAAGTCCAATATCATTGCTCCACACAATATCCGATCCAGCCACATATGTATCTAAAATGGGATTTACTTTGATAATCGAGAAAAACGGTCTTCTGGTTATGTTTTTTATTGTTATTATATATCACTAGGACTCAGGACCCCGCGATGTCGCGGGAAAATATATTTCAAAAATCATTTAAAAAAATATCAAACGAAAAAATCATAATGAATTGTAATAATTTTGAATTTTTTTAGCAACAAATCAATATATATTTTACAAAAATTATGATAAAGAAAACTCTCACAAGCATTTATTAAGTATATTAATATTAGAAAACAATAATTTGTAACTAAAAAACTATTCTCAAGTGCAAAAAGCATAAACTAAAAAACCAAATATTACAATAGTTTGATAAATAAGCCAAAACGTTCAACGTCAAATAAACCAAATGCTATTGTGTTATATTAAACGGTAACAACAATTCATTTAAATATAATTTAGTATTTAAATATTTTTTTAAAATATGACGAACTTATCCGAGAAACGCAACCGTAGATATCAAATATTCCAAAAACTGCAACGGTTCGTCAATTATACAAATGTTGCATAGTTCATCAATATACTAAGGAAAAATGGTCGTAACACAAACCCAAAGTTGCAAAATTCGTCAATAATCCAAATGTTGAAACAGTTCATTTAAATAGTTACAATCTCATTTAAATATATTTTAGTAATTAAAAATTAAGAATTAAAATAATAATTTATGAAAAGTTACACCGAGAGACGCGGCGGTAGATAATTAAATGTTATAGCTATTTATAAAATAAACCAAAAATTGCAATTGTTCGTGAAATAAACTAAATATATAAACCAAAAGTTGCAATTGCTCGTAAAATAAACTAAATATTGCAATGATTCGAATAAGCGGTTTCAACTGTTTATGAAGAGTTACAATAAAAAACGCAACCGTAGAAAACATTCAGAATGCAATTTATAAAAAAAACATAACCGTAAAATATATATTTTAATTAATAAAAATATTAACGAAAAGTTGCGATAAAAAGACGCAACCGTTCAGATGTGCAAATGGTATTTATTAAATTGCTATTATATATAGATTTAGTCTTCTTCAAGTTTTTGTATTTATTTATGTTTGTGAGACAAAGACTAGTCACAGGGATGAACGAACAAATCCAAGAAAATCACTATCATTCGATATTATTTTGAAAGGGAAACAAAGGATAGTCACCAGGAATGTGGCACTTGAATTTTTTTTTTTATGTCTCTCCGTTAGGTAGGCAAAGGAACAAGAGTATTATTTTTAAAATTTTTGCAAGAGATGACATTTATTATAAATTTTTAGAGTTTTATAAAGTTCCCCTTTTTGGTTTTGGTTGTTTTGGTAATAAACTTTATTGGACCTTAGATAACTAATTTCATTGGATCCAGGAACCAAGATCAAAACAAATTGATCGATCATACTTACTACTGAATCATCATCGTCAGTAGTAGGCATGTCGATTGAGGTAAAAGAACACTTTCAAAATGCTCTAGGCGTTTGTATTTGGATAGAAATAAGCTATCCTTTTCTATTTTGGTAGTTTCCTAGCAAGTAAGTGGTTGAAGAAAGGAGGCTATGGCTTTGAATGGTTAGTCCATGTGATGCGGACTTGACAATGCATACCAATATTTTAGTATGCAAAATTAGATTATGTGGATAAAATTCTCATAGCCGTAGGAATTTGTGAAAGCGCCCAAATCTGCCGTGCTCAAATGCATACTAATATGGAGATTTTTAGTATGCAACAGTGCATACTAATCTGGAATAGTGAATAGTGAATTAAGTACGGACTGATCCGATTTTAGTCCGATCTGCAGCATACTATACAACCATTCAAAACCTATGTGTGGTGGAATCATCAACTTTGCGTTTACTTAAGTCAACTCTCAAGAATTCAAAGAAACACGCTTATAATAATCAACTAATTATCTTTCTCTCATACTGAAGCAGATTTAAACATCTCCAAGGAATCAGAATCAAATTGTGATTAACAGAGCAAGAAAGAAGACTTTCAATTGTGATTAGCTTACTCCTTAAAAAGTGAAACAAAACTTGCAGAAGTGATTCTATTTGAACCTTACTCGTAAGCTGATGATAGAGAGACATTACCGAAGTATAAAAGAGATTAGTTTAGTATTTACCAAAATGTGAAAAAGGCATTTATATCATAAAAACCCTTACGCGTCTTTGCTAGGAGTTAAAAAAAATCACCTTTGATGGCTTGGATAACGAAAGACTTTTTGTTTTTTTTGGACTAATCAAAGACTTACGAAAAGACTTTTGATCCAAAAAAAAACAAAAGACTTGAGAGTTAAGAAAGGACTCTTGGACTACGGCCTAAAAAAAAATTCAGTCTTACAGTTAAAACTTAGTCTTATGGTAAAAAACACTGTATAAATGTTTTTGTCTACACAATTTAGACAAAACTTCCTAAAGGTAACATAATTGTCTAGAAGATGACATAATTGTTACACATTTTTTGTTGAATCTGCATATAACTACTCAAATGCAACACAGTTGAAGAAGACCGTTAAAGGTAATATAACTTAAGAAATTTTCTAAAGGTATACATACAGTCTAGAAAATGACATTATTGTTGCACATTTTTGAAAGAAAAAACTGGGATTTGTGGCATTTTAGACAAAACTTCCTAAAGGTAAAGTTTTAGAAAGTGAGCTGCGTATACATTTAGTTTTTTTTTCTCTCTCTTTTGGTAATTTCCTGCAAGTGACTGGTGGAAGAAAGGAAGCTTCGTGGAGTCCAAATTGCAGAGAAACACTCTTATAATAATTAGCTTAATAAATCCACTCTCTTTCTCTCATTCTGAAGATTTAAACATCTTCAAGGAATCAAATCTTTGTCTCTAGTATTACCTTCTTTAAGTTCGACAAACAAGCACATACTGTTTGTTAAAAAACTCATCTATCTCCCCCCCCCCCCCCAGAAAAATGTCTAGAGGATGTCTAAGTTGTTTCAAAGTCATGTGTTTCGAGAAGAAGCAGAACAAGAAAGAAGACAAACCCGTGAAAACAGAAAGATTGCCAGAGCCAGTTGAAGAAAAAGAAGGTATACAAGACAAACCTCTGAAAGCAGAGAGGTTGCCAGAGCCGGTTGAAAAAAAAAAGAAAGATGTTAAATACGGCGCGTGCAAGAAGATGCCCGAGGAATGCATGTTCAAACCCAAACCAGAATGGATCAAGTATAGCAGCAGCGATATTGGACCAAACGTCTACGATTTGTATGGAGATCAATACGCAGAAACAGATGTATCTTCTACGTCAATGAATAATGAATTCAACAAAGTGAAGACCTTTGATATACGAGGAGTCAAAGTAGCCACGGCCAAGGAATAAGAGAAGAGGGATATTTATACATGAAATTGTACGGCTATCTTGATAATGTTATCTGGCGTTGAGCCACTGATTTCTTCTTTTATGTATCTGGTTACCTGTTTATCAATGCAAGCATATATTTTTGAAGGTTAAAAAATCAAAAGTGTAAAGAAAATAGCAAAAAAAATATAGATTCAAGAATCAAAACACTTAATTTACTAACTTATAGAATCATTCAATGAGTTTAAGTGTACAAAGCATTTTTCACTTTCCTTTCGGAGGACAGAAATAACTATAAGCTGCAAAGAAGACTTGCAAAGCCGCAAACATAAGAAGCAACAACGCTGCAAATGACGACGCAAATGTCCATGGACTATCGAAATGCGTGTGAATAAACTCTGCGCAGTGAACATGAAATCCTTTAGAAGTATACTCGTTAACTCCTTCAAACACCTTTGCTAAGTAACTCTTCTCTAAGTCGAGAGCAATGTCTTTACCAATGCGTTTATAAAACCGGGACACTTCATCCTCTGTTCCAAAATAGTTTTCTAGGATCCTTCTTTCAGTAAGGAACGCCGCATCGCTCTCTTCGTTTATAAGACAAGCCATGAAAGCTACGTAGCTCGTTATGTGGTTCGATGAATCAGCATATAATTGCTCAAATGCAACACAGTTTAAGAAGACCGAGGCGGTAAAATCATCCATGACTACCGGAGGAATATGAAGCACACCATTACTGTACGTTATGTCTAAGATTGAGTCTGTATTCTTCCTCCGCTTGAATTTTATTCCCCGAAGATGAAGCTTCTTGGCTGAGAGAACGAATCCGAGAAATTCATGATCATTGAATGACGATTTACGGCTAGATTTTCGTCGTTTCTCCTCGGAACAACAGAGGATTGTGAGATAGTTATGATCTTTGATGCTTCTTTGAGACGGAACGGGAACAAAAGTCTTACGTATCAAATCAAGAAGATGTTTTGCTTCAAGACCATAATGTTTTGCCCAAAACGTCTCAGGTCTTTGTAATGAGTAGTCAAAGAATTCAAAGGCGATTTCGTTTAAACCACTACAAGTAACTAACTTCGATGTTTCGAATAGAGTTTGAAGAAGAACAAAAGGAACCTGGTTTTCCAAAAGGAGAAGATCGGCTCGAATCGATGGCAAAATCCATGGCATTCTGAAAATAGGATCATCAAGATTGGTGTAAACAACTTTCCCGGAAACAACAAAGAACAACGTGAGGATAAAGCAACCATCAAGAACCATCATCTCAACCAATTTTTGAGAATCTAAACCAAGATCCTCGGAGTAAGAACCTCTTATAACTCCTTCCAAACTTGATACAGCTTTGATCAATTCTTGAGGATCAATACCCTTTTCTTCCATTTTAGCCACGAAAAACTTCAAGAAGCGGCGTTTGTGCTGCTGAGTCATTTTGAGATGGTCTTTGCCGTGATGGTAAGGACCAATGGAGACAATCTTGGGTTCGTAAGCTTTGAGGTTGATTCGAGCTAGGCTCTGTGGGATTCTCACGTTGCAACATGACTCTGATCCAGCTGATTCTCTCAGAAGCTTCAGACCATTATCTGCTGAGATTAAGTTATTTATGTTTACAACAATCTGTGGATCCATTAAGTTAAATCTTCAATACCACCTCAGATTGTCTTCTGGTCAGGTGGAAGACTTGAACTACGTTTTTTTTAATTTTTATATGGATTAGTCTTCCTGAATTTTGTGGAAATTTAGGAAGGAGAAACGAAATTTCGCACTATAGCAAATTGTTGACAAGTCTCCATGTTATTTTTTAAAACCTTAAGACTTTTCTTCTTAACTTTTGCAAGAGATGACAATTATTATGAATTTTGATAGTCTCCACTCTCCACGTTTTTTTTTTTTACAGTTTTACCAAATTTTGATAACTCTCCGTTTACTTTCTAAGTCAACTTTCAAAAAGTCACAGAACACGCTTACACTAGTAATCTGCAAGAACTCAGATCAATTTCCCTTATACTGAAGATATATAAAATCAAGAACCAGATCTTTTGTCTCTGTATACCTTGTTGTTAAAATCTGAAAATGTCTAAAGGATGTCCAAGTTGTCTCAACATCATATGTTTGAGGAAGAAGCAGAGGAAGGAGCAGAGTAAGAAACAACAGAAACCTGGGAAAACAGAGGATGTGGTTGAGCCAGTAGGAGTAAGAGATGATGAAGAACAAAGCCTGGAAAAGAAGACGAACATCACGGGAACAATGGGATATTTTCGACCTGAATATATGTCTAGTTATGACAATTTTTATGGAAAACTTGGGGAAGGTGATTCTTCTTCATCCTTGAAAAATGATTTCAACAAAGTGAAGACCTTTGATTTACGAGGAGTGGCAAAAACAGAGAAGAAGTAAGGAAGAAGATGGGACTTGAGAATCGAGATGTAATGTTCATCATGTTTAAAATCTTCACGAGCTCTAGATTGCTTTCTTACTCAATATTATAATCTTGTATTGAGAAACTGGCCTCTACTTTAACCAACCGATTACATGTATGCTACCAATTAAAATATGTTTCTAAGATTAAGAATAAAAAGTGTTTAGAATGCAGCAGAGGACTGAGAACAAGTAAATCACAAATTTGATACTTATACCTAAAGAAACATTCAGTGTGTTTATGCATACTGCTTAAAGAGATAAAGGAGGCCCTTACAGTTAACTGTTTTTGGGAGGACGAAAGTAAGCATAAGCTGCAAAGAAGGCTTGGAAAATGGTAAGGAGAAGAAGCATCAAAGCAGCACAAGATGATAAAAATGTCCATGGAGTGTTGAAATGTGTGTACTTGAACCCTGCCCATTGTACGTGGTATCCTTGTGAAGTGTACTCGTTCACTCCCTCGAACACTTTTGATAGAAAACTCTTGGATATGCTGAATGAGATGTCTTTCCCAATGTTCTTGAAGAATAAAGAAACTTGTTCACCCGTTCCGAAATAGTTCTCTAAGATCCCTTTCTCGATTAAGAAGGTCGCATCCTCTTCTGTGTTTATCAAGCAACCCATGAAAGTTACATAGCTAGTAATCTCAGTGGAGCAGCTCATATTAAACTGCTCAAAGGCAACACAGTTGATCAGTAGAGTGCTGATAAAGTCATCAAAGACAAGTAGTGGTACTTCAAGAATACCGCTCTTGAAACTGATGTCTAACGGTGTCTCTACATTCTCCTTCCGCTTGAATTTTATTCCCCGAAGTTGAAGTTTTCTGGCTGACACAATTAGCCCAAGAAAAGGTCGAGGAGGAGGAGGAAGAGGAGGCGATGATGTTTGCGCTCCAGTTATCTCCTTTGAGCAACTTATCTTACCGAGACAAGTATTTTTAGATGTCTCGGTTCTTGAATTTTCCCTGAAAATATTGATACAACATTGCCTTGGAATTGTTGGTGGAGGCGGGACGGGTTTGAAAGTCTTACGAATGAGATCAAGAAGATGTTTTGCTCGAAGATTGTTGTGCTTCTTCCAGAAATCATCTGTTTTTTTTATTGAGTAGTTGAAGAATTTGAAGGCCAACATGTTTAAGCTAGTGGATGGAGCTAACTTTGATGTCTCTAAAAGAACTTCAAGAAGAAAGAGAGGAAGCTGGTTTTCGAGAAGAAGAAGGTCGCTTCGAAGTGTTGGCAATATCCATCGCAGATTGAAAATTGGGTCTTTGAAATTTGTGTACTCAATCTTTTGTGAAACCACAAGGAACAGCATAAGAATGAAACAACCATCAAGAATCATCACCTTGATAAGCTTTTGTCGACTAAATTCAAGATTCTCAGAGTAGGAGTCTCTTATCTTCTGTTCCAATCCTGAGACGACATCGACTAAGTGACTTAAATTTACACCATTGTCCTTAGTCTTTGACACGAAAATCTCCAAATAACGTTTTTTATGCTCCTCTATCATCTTGAGATGTTGTTTATCACTTGAATGGTGATAAGGGCCTATTGAAACGATCTTGGGTGCATAAGCTTTGTCGTTGACTCGCTCGAGAGTGTGAGGGATTCTATAGATGCAACAAGATCTATCACCTGCTGATTCCTTTAGATGGACTGGTGGGATCACTTTATCTAAGAGCAAATAAGCTTCTTCTTCGTTTTCGTCCGGGATCGTGGCACTCTCTTCACTGGCTTGGCTGGGAGGATCCATGGCTCTCTTGTTAGTCTTTTTTTTTTTTTTTTCCTTTGTCAAATGGTTTTGTTGAACATCAATCATATCAAAACAAAATATTTTAACGATTAATGTAAGAATATAAAATGATCAATTTTGTCTTCTTGCTATATATTATACAAATATCACGTTTGTCCACTTTAGTAATATAACCTTTTCTCAGATCTAGCCGTTTACACATGGCATCATTAATGGTAACATAAATATAAAATCCGTTCGAAAGATTGAAAAATCTTGTCTCCTCGATTCGCTGGTCCATTCACTATCTAGAAGAGCTGTATTTAGTGCGTTAGGTCTTTACTTTATTAGTTTAGTTTTTGTTCCCATCTGTGTTGACGCTTTACTTGCATTATCAATTCGTATAGAAGGAAGTGACTTTTAGTCTTTAGCTTGATCCATCTCACTTTAAGAAAGATGAAGATGATGCTGTTTACGGTCTTAGGATCCTTCATCGTCGGAGCAAGTCTTCTTCTACTTCTTCTTTTTCTTATTTACCTACTCCGGGAGTTATGTTATGAGGGCATAGAAGGTGAGTCTTTTTCTTAGGTCTACGAGATTAATATAACAAAGCTTTAGTTAATCATATTGACATAATTAGCGTCAGTGTAACATAAATCTTTTTGTCGCTGACACGCAGTTTATAAGGAAGCTAGAGGGGAAGAGGAACACCTTATAAGCCCGAGCATTTCAGATGAATCTGAATATCAATGTGCACAATCAGCTGAACAGGTTTGTATAGTTTCAGGTGAGCCAATTACTTCACATATATTTTTACTTCCAATAAAAAAACAGACAACAAATTTTATGTTGCCAACGTACAGTTGATCAATCGGATCCAGGAGTGGCATATACATCAATCACAACGGCATGGAGACTTCCTTCACTAAGAAATGAATACAACGCAGTAGACGACTTTGTGTTGGGAGGACAAAAGGATAGCGATTCAGATTAGAATTCATATGAACTGATACTAGTTATTTATTTTGTCAACTCTCTTTTTCAGCATGAATGAATGATCTGATCTGTGTTGCTTTCTTGCTTACAATTGAAATCAAGCGACTAGTTTCTTGATTGTTTTTAGTTTTTTACTCACAGTTTCTGCAACATGCTCCGATCCATTGTGTAAAGTACAAAACTCGGTTAATGCCGAATATATATTTTTGTCTCCCTTTTATGTATCAATAATTTAGTTTCCTTTGGTTTTGTATAATGTAGTAGTAGCACAAATAGTCAAATACATAGTCAAATTACTGAGATGAACAAAATAACTCTAATTTTATCAAAAAAAAAAAAAAAAAAACTCTACTAGATGACAGATTTCGTATGGTCTGTTGTTAGTTTGCATCGACAAACATTTTGATACTTGGACTGAAAATAATTCAACTTAATAAAGTTAAAGAACACACTTACGGATCTCTTTCCCACATGTTGAAGATATATAAAAATCTTCAAGAACCAAAGTTTATGTCTCTGTATACTTTCATTTCCACTTAACAAGCAAATACTCTATTCAAATTCAGAAATTGTCTCAGGGGGATTTTTAAGTTGTCTCAACATTATATGTTTGGGGAGGAAGCAAAGAGTAATAAACAACACAAACTTGTAAAAACAAAGGATGTGGTTGAGCAAGTAGGAGTAAAAGATGATGAAGAAAAACCCTGGTCAAGAAGACAAACGAGATGGGAAGAACGGGATAAGCAGCCAATCTGAATATATGTCTAGTAATGCCAATTTGTCTGGAAAATATTGAGGAGGTGATTCTTCTTCATCTTTAAAAAATTATTTCACTTAAGTGAAGACTTTGATTTTCGAGGAATGACAACAACAAAGGACAAGTAAGGAAGAGGATAGGACTTGAGATGTAATATTCATATTATTTAAAATCTTGGCAAGCTCTAGATTAATTGTTTTCTTACTTGGTATATAATCTTGTGTTGAGCTACTAATTAATCCATTTTTACCTATCTAATTACATGTTTTGCTATGTTAGACTCAGTACTGATCTAATCTATGTTTAAAGTCTTTAGACTGCAGTAAATGATTAAGAAAGCAAAACAAGTAGATTACAAATTTACGTGAAGGAGTATACCATGTAAATTAAACATGATTCATTAGCTTTTGCGTCTATTGAAAGAAATGGCCGATAGTCGATAGATTTTATGTTCTGTTACATATGTTTCAAAGGAAAAAAAATCAGATGTGAATTACAAACAAATAAATATTTTGGCGTTGATTAAATATTATGACCAGATATGTAACTGGTCTTTAATTAACATGCACCTTCTCTCCACTCTTTTTTTTTTTTTTTTTTTTTGACATCGATCTTTGGATCGACAAGGCCCGATCCATAGCCAATCTCTACTACTCGGGGTAACGCGACTTAGTGGAGTCAAACTCCGGTGGAGAAAGCGGAGTCAAATGGACTTAACCACTTGACTAAAGGCACATCCCCACCTTCTTTATTCATAATATATACTAATATGCTTTTGTTATAAAAGTGACAAGGTCCACGTTATGACTAAAATTAAATAAGACCGGTGATTAATTTGAAGGTTTGATGGATTAATATTGACCCAGCTTAATAAAACTCGATCATTACAATTGACTTAAATCCATTTCTCTATAAAAAGCAGTTAATGGGATATAGCCTGATCATCAATAGAACAAACAAAAAAAAAAGTGAAACAAGATGATTGCTTTGGTGTTAGGAACCATTTTTGTCGGATCAATTCCCATGTTCATTTACACACGACGTGCAAACGGTCATGAGCCAATACCGAAACATAAACGAGGTTAGTACGACGACTTTCTTATAATATCGTACCAGACAAAGATATCGAGGATTATGAATTCGTAGACAAGTTATTGCAATCCTTATTAATGTTATTTTGGTATAATATGAAACATATTTTACGTTTTCTTTGTAATGTTCCGAATAATGATTACTCAAAGTGTTAATAAAAATTGATATGGTTTTTGTGGTACTAGGTGGAAGCAGCATCCTCGCAGTATGTCTAATCCTGCTTTTGTTCCTAACGCAAGCACTTGGAGGTATCTTTATATTTTTGATAAAATTTTCAATTTGGAGGTTATCTACCGAAATAAAAGTCTTTTTTTTTTTAATAACAATTAAAGTCACTTAATGATTTAGAAGAAACTGAAATAACTTAAAAGAAACAAGAACAAGATTCAATTTAAGATTTTGGATTAAATCTACAATTGAGAGTTATTTGGCTAGGAAATTATTGAAGAAATTGTTTATATAATTTAAATATACATGTGTCTGATTTCTAGACAAAAATAAATTCAAATAAGAAAGCTATTGTCAGATATTTATATGTTATAGTTTAATTTTGTATTTAATTATGAGTTTACCTCCGTCTTGTTTTCATATCTTGGATCATAATCTTGTAATGGCTTTTATATATAAGCAAATGTATGCAACGCTGCCGAGGGAACCTGTAAAGCCGGAGCAAAGTCCGAGACATATGCCGGAGACGAGTTTGATCCCTTTCACGTCGCTGACCATTATGACGATGGTGATGATTGATGATCGACGGGCGATATGCATCCCCTGAATCTTCTCTTTTTTTTTTTCTTTAATAATTTACCCAAAAAAATCTTGTTACAGTATATGCATTTTTAAATCGAATGTTATTTCTCATATTCAATTTCCAATAATGAAATAAAAATGTGTGTTTTTCAATAGTTTATTTCCGGGAAAGTGGACATTTTCTCTTTTCCTATTCCTTTTCTCATACGAGTTGTGTTACATTCTTATTATTTTTTCTGCTGAAAACGACCTGCATATATCACTCTACAAGGAAATTTTCAAATATACCACGGGTTTATCATTGAACAAGTCAAGAGGAAAAATCGTGGCCAAACGTTGGTAATTGATCAATATAAAAACTTAGCTATCAAGTGATCATTTCCAATTACAGTTAGTGGCGATATGTACTCACCTGGCCATATATTTGCGACGGGTGAAATCTATGACCATGTCCCCTAAATTAACCACTGCTTAAATAGAGGCTAAAGGACAAGGAAACTTTGGCCACAGCAGTCTCGTAGTGACTAATTGTAGCCACTTCCACATGGTATTGGCATTAGCCACTATTTTATCCACTACTATTTAGTGGCGAACTAGCTGTTTAGGCCACCGATTTTATCGTAGCTAAAAGGCCACAAAAACAACATATTTACAAGTGATTTTTTCTAGCAATGAAATGGCCATGGTAAAATCAGCGGCCTACCTTTGTGATTGAAATACAATATTAAAAAAGTTGTAAAAATCAAAAACCAAACCAAAATAAATAAAAAAAATGATTTCTAAAAAACAATATTTTTATATTTAAAAATTACGGTAGGTTAATACAAGTAATTTAGTTGTATTAAATTGTTTCCTTTGGTTGATCTCTTAATTATTTCTTGTAGCAAGGTCTCTGTTTCTTTTTTCCTGTTTTTATTATGTCTCTGTTTCTTTGTTTTCACTTTTTAGTTTTTACATATCTAGTTTCGTTTACGCTTAACTTTAATGAAAATCCAAAAACAGTAATTTGAATCCTGTTTAGATAAGTTGATTCTCGTATCCTTTTTTTTTTTTTTTTTTTTCTCATCCTTTCTTGGTGTATGATTAGTTAGTTCTTAATTTCTTATCGATTCAATATCCATTTGTACTACCGCATGCATTTACAGTTATAACGTTGTACTTGCGGAAAGTATTTGCAAATTTTAAAACCTGAGCTATATCAGTAAACATATAACTTTCGAAAATGTGATGTGAAAAAAAAAAAAAAAAAAAAAAAAAAATTGTTGATGGAAAATTGGAAAGGAAATAAAATTTAGATAAAAACAAAGAAATTAAAACATTGAAGTGATCAAACAAAAATGCTCATATTTTGTAAAGAAAATAGCCACAAGAATAATTTAAAGATAGGATGAAAGTTTCAGGCATGTTCAAGTTGAAGACGAAACTAAAGGTGCAACATTGGTGAGATCCAGAGCCAAAGGTGTAATCACTTTGGAGGGCGAAAATACGCGTAGCCTGCGAAGAAAGCTTGGAAAATGGTAAGCAGAATAAGCAACAAAGCAGCACAAGATGATAGAAATGTCCACGGACTTTTGAAATATGTGTACTTGACTCCTGCCCAGTGTACATGGTATCCTTGTGAAGTGTACTTGTTGACTCCCTCGAACACATTTGCCAAGTAACTCTTGGATATTGTGAACACAATGTCTTTACCTGTATCCTTGAAGAACACGGATAATTGTTCTCCCGTTCCAAAATAGTTCTCTATGATACCTTTCTCGCTTAAGAACGTTGCATCATCTGCAGTATTTATGAGGCAGCCCATGAAAGTAACATAGCTCGTCATTTCGGTTGTGCCTTGCACATTAAATTGCTCAAAGGCGACGCAGTTGATTAAAAGAGAGCTGAAAAAGTCATCAAATAGTAGTGGCGGTATTTTTAGTACACCGTTCTTGAGAGTTATGTGAAGAGGTGTCTGAAATTTCTTCTTTTGTTGGAATTTTATTCCTCGGAGTTGAAGTTTTCTGGCTGAGACAACCAACTTGAGGAAAGGACGAGGAGGCGGTGTTGGTGGTTTTGGATGTGGTTGTGTTAGTGTTGGTGGTGGTGGTGGTGGTGGTGTTTTTGTTTCTATCGGTGGTGGTGTTGATGTCTCCGTTTGAACTTTATTTTTAACAAGACTTAATATATTGAAGCATCTGGAACCGCAGAACATATTGGTCCACCTTTCTCCTTTGTCTTTTTTCGATTGATCGGGTACGAAAGTCTTACGGATGAGATCAAGAAGATGGCTTGCATCAAGATTCATTCTTTCATCCCAAAATTTTTGTGGCCTTTTTATTGAATAGCCAAAGAAGTTGAAGATCATCTCGTTTAAGCTAGTTTTAGTAGCTAACTTTGATGTCTCAAAAAGATCTCGAAGAAGGAAAAGCGGAACCTGGTTTTCAAGGAGGAGGAGATCACTTCGTAGAGTCGGTAAAATCCACCGCAACATGAAGATGGGATCCTCAAATGTTTTATGTAGAACCTTACGTGAAACCATGAGGAACAACATAAGGATGAAGCAACCATCAAGAACCATCAGATCGATCAGCTCTACTTGATTAAGTTGTAGTTCCTCGGAATAGGAATCTCGTATGAGATGTTCCTTTCTCCATACCACCTTGTGCAAGTCTTCTAAACCCACGCCCTTTTTCGTCGTCTTGGACAAGAAGATATCAAGATACCGTTGTTTGTGCTGCTGGATCATCTGAAAACGTGATTTTTTGGCTTTATCGGATTTACCGTCATGATGGTGATAAGGACCGATCGAGACAATCTTCGGTTTGTACGCTGTCTCATTGGATTGGACGAGAGTGTGAGGGATTCTAAAGATGCAACAAGATTGGTGAGCTGCTGAATTTCTCAGAAGTATTTTGGAATCTTCATCTGCCCTTGAGATTTCTACGATGCAATCATCTACCCCTGAGATTGTTGTGCTTCCTCCTGTTGGTTGCTTGGGAAGATACATGGCTCTGATCTTGTTCTTGATTTTTCTTGTTCTTTTTTCTTTTAACAAGAAAAATATCAAACGGTTTAATGTTCATTAAACCGAAAATAAAATGATTATTGTAAGACCATCAAATAAAGACCTAAATAATGAATTAACAAGACAGCATGTAAGTCACATTAATAATAGAGAGACTCAACAAGGTCTACAATTTCTTATCATCAAAAAGTCACCTTATGATCTAAAGAATTATGTCAATAAATAAAAATAGAGAATTATATCAATTTAGCCCAAAAAAAATAATTATGCACCTCTTTTTTATTGTCTCAGTTTTATATTCAAGAATCTACCCTTCACCTTTGAAAAATGCAAAAATACGAATTTTCAGAGCCATATCTTCCAAAGCAACCCATTATATAAGCTGCAAATTTCAGCTTATTGAGGATAAGAATGCTGCAAACTTCATTATGCGAATTTCATTATATAATTTATGTTATTATGCAATTATGCATAGTAAAATAATGGTTTATGATAAGGGGTAAGATCCGACAAACAAGAATTACGACATGTGCACCGTCTCAGAATTAGCTAATCAAAGATTAGATAGAAAGAAAAACAGTCGTTGACTTTTACTTTCATGTGGCATTTATAAAAATATGGATTGTATTATATACTTTCAACTTGATCTAACTAGTTCGTCCAGACCACTACTAGTATGTCGTAAATAATATCAGTTTTACTTTTCTTATAATAAGATGTAAAAGACAAGTACGTGGTAATATAAATTATATATAGCAAATAATGCGACCAAAGAAACTAAGGGCACGGAAAACTGCGTTAGGTTAAGTAGAATATCGACGTCATCAATGTGTGGCCTCATGCTCATAGAATATCGTTTGTAAATAATGTCGTTTTATATATATATATATATATATATATATATATATATATATATACTAGGGGAGGTCCCCGCGCCCAGCGCGGGGTTGTATGTTGATTAAGACCAGAATTAATAATTAATATTTAGGGTTATCAAGTTAGGGATAATTATTGAATTAATTTTGTCAAGAGTCTAATTTTTATAACGACATTAATATAGAATTATGGTAAAACGCTATAACTTTTGATATATATTATTAGTAATCAACAATTAATAGTGTTTTTGAATCACAAACAATTATTAGTATTTATATCTTGATATATATAATAGAATTAAATATAAAAAATCTATATATTTAAACCAACAATATATTAGCAACGCCCCGACCGCCACTGTCCATGGGTTCCCACGTCCAGTCTCGGTCTTTAGGCCCATCTTCTTTGTTTTGTCGTACTCTTGATTTTATGACATATTCATGCTTACTCGTTTCTTTCATATTAGCAACGCCCCGACCGCCACTGTCCGTGGGCTCCCCACGTCCAGTTTCGGTCTTTAGGCCCATCTTCTTTGTTTTGTCGTACTCTTGATTTTATGACATATTCATGCTTACTCGTTTCTTTCATATTTGTAATGCCACGACCGCCACTGTCTGTGGGTTCCCACGTCCAGTTTCGTTCTTTGAGCACATCTTCTTGGTTTTGTAGTACTCTTGGTTTTATGACATATTCACGCTTCCTCGTTTCTTTCATATTTGTAACGCTCCGACCGCCACTGTCCGTGGGTTCCCCACGTCCAGTTTCAGACTTTAATTTGGGCCCATCTTCCTGGTTTTTGTTGTATTCTTGATTTTATGACATATTCATGCTTTTAGATTGTATGTCACTGGAGTTTTTCGTAGTTGGAAACAAATAATTGAAAAATATAATCTCTTACCATATCTCTTACCTATCAATTAAGTCATCTTGCTCTTTGAAGTAGTTATGTACGTTAAATTTCAATGGTATAGAAACAGGCATCTCCTTTGTATATATCGTGTCATATTTATCGTCCCTATTGTAGTATCTTTGTCTCTACCTTCGCCATTGGTCGCTGCGTAACCCTTCAGTTGATCTCTTGTTTATAAAACCCATATAAAAAGTTGTAAGAGAAATATCATTTTCTTAACTGTATCGTATATGTATTTGTAGTATATTGATCTGAGATTGAAAAGATGTATGCCAATCAAAAAGCTCTTAGCAAAGTAAACACTGAAGATAGGTACTAAAAATGAGAGGGTTACAGAGAGCAAGTATCTATCCCTTAGAAACCAC